CTTTCCTTGTACAACTTATACCCATACTGTAACTGAAAGTTATTATATTATCTTCCTAAAGCTTTAGTGTTTTAAAAATGTAATAAAAGTAATCACATTATAACTCTTGAACTAATTTTAGTATTTGAACTATATCAACTATGCAACATGTTTGCACTTTTACTGCACAAACCTTTTTTTAAATGATGGTTGAGTTCTGTCTGTCCAAACACAAAGTATAACTCCACTTGTCCACCCTCACATCGCCTAAAGAATGTAGCTTACAAATTTAGATAGAATGAAAGTAAATTGCTAGAAATTGTAAAAAACTACAGAGTACAAGTGATTGTTAACTTGGCTGAAATGTAGCCAAATTTACATTAAAGTAGGCCTGAAATACATTTTGGTACTTAATTTCTCAGGTTTCTTAACACTATAATACTTATACTATAATATAAACTTTTTTATGGTAACTACGCAAGTTGTAATACTGTAAAAAAGTTGTAAAATTTACTTTTCTTAAGTTTTAAAGTGTAAACTACTGCTAAGACAATAAATATTAGTATTTTACACTTTTAAACCGGATACTTATATCGTATATGGTAGCAAATATCTCTTACTAGGTAGTTCAAATAGTTTTGTGCTATCTTTCAAGAAAATTGTTAAAGTGAGGGGGCGCAGAATTATTTGAACTACCTAATATTATATATATATATGTAGTATCATATGTTTAAACATATGATTTTTAATGGCAAATAAGGAACTGATAGAATATTCAATCGACTGTAAACTCATTTCTACATTTGCTATGCTACACAACTTACAATTACTAAATAATTTACATTTCGTATTGAAATTTTAAACAATTCATGTTTACTAACCTGTAACATGTAAATTTTATATGTTTCATAAGGTCAATTTGGCAATGCTTATTGTGACAAGATAGACAACGTTTTAATTAAAAAATTATTTTGTTAACGTTAGGTTGTTCAAATGATTCTGGGCCCTTTAACCCCGCAAATTTTTTGTTAGAGACTACTGTACAAAAACTGTAATTTTAAATTTTCATTTTGACCTTTTAGTATTTTTAACTATAACCTTATGTGAATTCAAGCGTAAAATTTTAAGTATAGCAAAACTCTTGTATAACAAACAACTTTTAAAGCTGCAGAACCTATTGTTACACGTTGCATTTAAAACACTTGTATACTGAAACTCCTTAATAACAAAAAAAATCTGAAGTGCTTGAGCGATTCGTTTGTTACAGAGAAGTTTTATTAAAACATACACTGATTTCTGTCATTATTTCAGTGACATGCCCAGACAAAAAACATGTTTTTATCTTTAAACAAATTTAATTGGTGTTAAGTCTTAAAAAGATTAAATTTTTGGATTTTAAATCTTTTGAAACATAAAAAAACGTCTGCAGAAAGCTATATTATACTTATCTTTGTCGTACCATAAAGTGATGTTTTTAGTTAACAAAATCAGCAAAGCCAACCGTTTAGTCTATGATTTGGCTGAATTATTTTTAATCTTTCAATTTCAAGCTTTTTGGGTTGTTCAAATAATTTTGTGCTTTTAACGTTTACTTTGAAAGAGGGCACAGAATGATTTGAAAAATTTTATAAAATTTCGTTTTTTAAATTTATTTTGTAAGACTCGCTATAATCTGATACCAAGTGGTGAGATTAAGATAACACGTTTGTACGTTTACAGTGATTAAATTTACACATTTTGAAATTTTTAAATTTAGTATATCTATTTGTGTCTCTTTACGGAACTACTTTTAGATAAACAGTTGGACTGAAAGTAAATGTGAGCATCCTATATTACTTGAAGAGCTGTTCATAAACGTACTTTTTGGAATATTTGGAATAATGTGTGTTTTAAAGTAGTAGTAAGGCATACGGTAGTAATAGAAAATCTTTAAGAGTTTGTAGTGTTACAATGGCTTGTTTTAAAGTTTTTTAAAATTTATTTTCTTTTTTCAACGCAAGATATATGATTTGAGACGTGAAGGGGATGATAAGAATTTGGTGAAGATAGTCAGAGCAATCTACTGTAGCTGTTTCTAATTGGGCCCCTTCTAGTTTAACTTGTTTCTTGAGGAACCGAGTTATGATGAGGTGCTTCTCAAGACTTCAGGTCGTAGTTGGAAGCCTATTTAGGCCAAGCAACCGATTTGGCGTAACCTCCGTTTTTGGCTTGTTTTCAATGTAAAAAGCTTGCCAAAAAAAGATATTGGCATAGTAAACACAAAATATTTGTCTTTTGGTATTGCCTTTAGCATATTACTGTAGAACCTGTTACTTTTGTATATGAAAGTTGTCTTATCCTTGATATGTATATGTTCAAAACTACTTTTATAGTCTTTTTAGTACTAGTCTATCTTCCTTCAGACTTTAAAATAACCTTAGTAACCTTTGAAAAATTACTTTAGTAACTTTCACTGCAGTTACCTTAAACTTGGCATTTCCAATATGCTGCTAATTACCATTACAAGAAAAAATTTTATGACTGTTCGCAGCTGGGCGTGGTTTGAATAAGTTAAAATTTAACATAAATTTACACTTTTATAATGGAAAAGACCATTGCGAATGCGGAGGGCAGGTTTTTTTTCGTTTACCGTCTGAAAAGATTAACTAAACAAGCGGCGGAGTGCCGGAGGGCGGAAACACGTTTGGTCGCGGCCCAAAAAAGGGGCGTGGCAATTTTGGACTACAAGAATGGTGGGCCAAAACGCCTCAGGATCGGTTTCGTTTCGAAGCGTTCGGCGGCGAAATGCTTCAGGTGAACGGCTGCCAACGTTGTTGCAGCCGGTTTTGAAAAGTTTTGAGAACTGGTGGCTATAAGATTGAGTTATGGGTCAGTGGGTCAGTACCTAGGTTTAGGTTTTGGGTCAACGTTTGAGTCGGTAGAATGACCTGGGCTTGTAGTATTATAGGGGAGGGTCTTGGAGAAAGCTGGGGTGTTTAAGGGCAGGTTACTTTAATTTCGAAGTTTTTTATTTTTATTTCAAATCGCTATATTGTTTGCTAGCTATAAAAAGAGTATTTTTTATGAAACTTGTGTTTAAAAATGTCATATGTAAAAAATTTTGGAAAAAATTATATTATCTTTGCTTTTCAACTACTTCTAGCCTTTTTTATCAAACTTAATTCATAAATTAACATAAAATTTTCCCTTTATTTTCACTTTTCTTACAACAACCCAACAATAGCTGTTCAAAAACTACCACACCTTTCCTTATCACACTACCCTTCTACAGTAATCTTTTTTTGTTTCGATGTCATAACAAAAAAGTTGTCCTTATCACTAATTGTTAATCAAATACGGTTTACATGCCATGTGACTTCAACTTTCCTTGTACTACTCGTCTTTTAATTTGTCTTTCGACTTATTTTTATCAATAAAACTTGACCAAACCCAGGCCACGCCCCCTTTTTGTTCGTATTATCTCGGCCCGTTTTATACGAGGACGATGGCGGTTAATGGGCCCGTGTGGGGTTGTCTTACGGTAGGGTATGGGAGGTTTTTTGAGGAGGGCTGTTAAATAGGGGAGGTGTTTAAAAGTTTTGAAAAATGATTTTTTGGTGTTATAGTGTATTATCAACTTTCTGTTTTAAGTATATCTAATAATTTTTTATGTATAAAAATTTTAAAAAATTAAAATTTTAAATTTTTTGATTTTTTTGAAAAAAGATTATTTTTACTGTAGCAACCTATATTCCTACTGTAATTTTTATTACAGTTTTGTTTAATTTTTATTTATTTTTTAACTTTTCACATTCATACCTCAGTCCTGATCAGTTGCACCCTCTAATGTTTGGTTTTTTTTCATTATTCTCAAAATTTTTGCAACCATTTTTGTACGCACATTGTCATATATCGAATTACGTTGTAAATATTTACTCACGCCTCCTTGTGTACTAATTAGTACGTTAACAAAAGGCAAAGATTATGGCTTGTTACAGTCATTAACTCTGTCATCAAAGGAGGTATGCGAATAGCTATTGGAGGCTTTGAATGTCATTGTTGTGTAGCCTTAGCTGTCATCATGGTATAAGCTCAGATCATTAAGAAATAGAATCAAATGTTGTCGGAATATAGGCTTTAAACTCATCTAGTTATAGGCTTAGTGTCATCAGAGTACAGGCTTAAATGTTATTAGGATATAGTGATTACGATTCTCAGTAAAGTACTGTTATATAACACGTTTAGTTGTTACTGCTTTTTCTAATAGTTTGTCCAATACTAACTCAGTGTTATTAGAGCTAGTACAATATTATTAGTGCTAATTGATGTTAGTGCAGTACTATCAAACAGTTTTGTAGAGATATGTTCGTACTTTTAAACCGTACTGTGGGGAATTGGAATGTGGCTGATTAATATAATCAATCAGCTGAAGTTGTATATTAACCTAGATTGAAAGGTTAATATTAGGTGGGCAATGATTAGATAGGTTATCAAATTGGTATGTGATTATACTGATTATAAGAGAAGATTACGCAGGTTAATAGAGTGGGCAGTGATTATGAGTATTATTGCGGTTTTTGTACTATTAAGAATTATAAATATAGGATTGTCAGCATTTTTTTATTATGTTTTTTGTGTGGGTTTGTATTTTACCGTATTTTTTTACATTTTAGTACATATATTGTTTTACTTTGATATTTTTAAAATTAATTTTTTTTAATTTTTTTGAATATTTTACTGCTTATTTTCAAGCGGTATAGCATTGTGTAAATATGCTTCTTTAGTACGTGTAAATATAGTGCTTCTCTAGTACCAAAGTGTAGTACTAAAGCTGTAAAATTTTAACTCCGAAATTTCAGATTAACTTTATCATTCTGATCAAAAAATCAAACTCGAATCAGCTCGAAACTTATCGACCTACGGCTTTCTCCCATTATATCCACTGATCTCAACTATCGATCTCAACATATAATACTCTCACCTCTTTTAATGCAACAATCGAACTGAATCTGCCTGGAATGCTTTCGACAACGTTCCGAACAATGAACACGTCCTTCATATGGGTAGTCATGTTATTCATCATTATGCCGGTGAGTGTTTGGTCGTTCAAATAGTTTGGTGTTTTAAAAACTTTACTACCATATGTTACAGTAGCTTAGTAGTAAATTGTACAAATACTTCTGTGCCTTAAAAACATTACTGTCATATGTTACAGTAGCATAGAACTAACACGTTCAAATAATTCTGTGCTCTCTAATTTAAAAAATTTAATTTGAAAGGGGCTCGGAATTAGTTGAACAACCTAATTTTATTTTTGTCTTTGATGACATATACATTGTCGTAGGGTTGGTCTTCGTTGTCATATGTATTGTCATAGGTTTTGTCATTGATGACATATACATTGTCATATTCTTCATAATGTAGCTGTTTTTACTTCTGTATACATTTTTGAGGACTTCTGACGTTGTTTTAGCATCTTGAGTATCTTGAAGTACCTTCTCTACAACTTTTGTATATTTTTTGAACTTTTTGGAATAATGGGAAGTATAATATGTATAAAAAATAGTACTTTTTTATGTTACAGTGGCCTAAAATAATCAATTTTTGGCTTAAATTTACAATAATCTAGGAAAAACAACTTTCAAATTTTAAAATCTTAAAAATTTTCAAAATACCAAAAAGTATTACCTAAAGTTCGTTTCGAGTGTAACAATCTCAATTTGAGTTTAAAATTGGTACTAATGGTATTAATCAAGTCTTCGTGTACTCAAAAACGTAACCTCCGCTTTTACTACGTCACAACCCTACTGTTAATTACACATTTCATTGTTACGAGTCCAAGCTTTCACTTCTACGTCAAAATATTCGTGTGGTAAACTGATTTTAAATGTTACTTTGGCTTGCATGATAAGTCCTGGCAACATATTATATGTTATAGGTTAGAGTGACATATAGGGTTGGGAAGGGGTTGGATTTTAGTAAAAGGTGTTTTTTGGTTCTTTTTTGATGGGTACGCCATTCTTTTTGCATCAAAAGGTCGATATACGCCATTTTTTCGCATCAAAAGGAATAATATAGAATATAGCAAAAACTACAGCATTTTTCATATATCATGTTTATATGTAACATTAGGTTCTTCAAATGATTCTGAGTCTCTTAATTCCAAAAATTTGTTTAGAAAGGTGGCTCAAAATTAGTTGAACAACAATAATTTTAAAATTTCATTGTATTTAAAACTTTTGATTTGAAAACATTTCCTTATGACAAACATATATGCCAACCCTCTTAATAAGCTACATTTTCTGTCATAACCCTACTGTTTGTGACCAAATGTAATAACATAGCAAAGTAAAACAAACAATTTTACGTAAACAGTAGTGAATCGCAGTTAATTTGGCTACTGAATGAGGGTTGATTGTAGAACTAAAAGTAACATTTTAATACTCGTCTAATTCATAATAAACGTCTGGAAATGTGTTTAGGTAATCATATTGTTATTGCTAATCAAAAACAATTTTAGAGAAAAAAATTTTAATTTTAAAAATATTAAGTTGTTCAAATAATTCCGAGCTCTTTCTCAAAGAAATTTTTTGAGGTTAGGAGGCACAGTATTATTTGAACAGGCTATCATTTTTTAAAATTTTTATTGTTATTAGGTATCAATAGGTAGTACTGTACTCACTCTTAGTCAATAATTACACTTACTAAGCCAATTATTACAGCTAATTACCTTGCAAATGACAGTGTAAAGTTTACTGTAGCTTTTTTAATTAACTCTTGTTTACAGTGGGCTAAAACTTAATATGATGACATTATATAAAGGCTGTCATATTGCAGTTTCGTGCTTATTCCAAAAGGTTTTGGAATAACTATACTGAGGGGGATTATCACATGTTGTAGTAGAACATTGTAAATTGGGCTATTTCGGTTTGTAGAGTACTGTAATTTCTGAAAAATAAAGATTTAGTTTACTGTAAAGTTAAAAAAATCTCTTCCAAGGTACTATGTAGGTTCAGCTTCTTGTGGTTACTGTATTTCAATTATATATAGGCTACTTTATAATATTAGTTAAGTACTAGTGAATTATACTTTACTATAAAAATATTATATATTTTAAATTTGACATCAATAACAATACCATTACAGGGGATCCCTGCCGGATCATCACGCTGCCACACCTGCGAAATGGACAAATTCGATCAGTACAAAATGTTTCGCCAAAACCAGATCCTCAACGATCTATTAAAGAAGCTAGAGCTAGCGGCCAAGCCAAATGTCACAATCGATTATGACAATTTGCCACCGATCGGTCGACAGAACCCTCGGATCCGAGCGTTGATCGAGCAGACGATAAGGGAGAAGAAGCGAAGCAAACGATCGCTGCCTAGTCTCGACATGGACATGTCCCATCTGTACGAGACCGATTCGCAGACTGTACCAACTAGTACCTTTTTTGTTGCTGAACCAGCGCCATGGCCTGTTGGGGAGGTGGGTAGTGCAGTTTCGAAATTTTTTTTTATAAATTTTAAAAGATTTTTTAAAATTTGAATTTACTGCAACTTATATGTGTATTGTTTTAGCCTTAAGCCCCGGTTAAAGTCGAAAAAAATTCAAAAAAAAATTTTTTTAATTTTTTAGTTTTAGTTAACAAAATTTTTGAAATTTACAAAATCTGTAAAAAAAGTTACTTTGGTAATTTTCAGGCTATTGACATATCAATTTTCCGTTTAAACAAATCACTTCGCCGTAAATATATCTACACAGCTACCTTGCACGTCTACATGAAGCGACCCATCATTCTGAGGTTGTCCGAACAGCCAGTAACGTTAAATGTGTATCAGCGGTACATGAATGGATCGGTAAGGGCGTAAACAACAATTTTAATTCTAAAAATTTTACTTTTTTGAGAGATTTTTAGGGGTATTTAATTCACATATCGTATTTTACTTTACCAATGATTGTCACCCACCTGCAGGCAAAAAATACGTTGAAAAAAAATTATTTAAAATTTTATTTTGAGAATTCAAAGACGAATTTAATTCCACAAAGTTAAAAAACAACTATACAAGTTTATACAACATAATGCTTTAGATCGGAGACAAACTAGCCACTAAGTACCTGACAGAAGACCTAGATGACAAACGAATCATCGCTCCAATCTCGGTCAAGCTGGACGGTCAAGATTTTCAAACGTGGCTAGAAGAACAGGAACGGCACGGTCGAGAACCTGTCGTTGCATTATACGCTGAAGTCATGTACGATGGTGAGAACTTGGTATATCAGCCACGAGATGGGTCGGCTACGGTGAGTTGCGACTTTTTGTTTTTTAATTGACTCACATTTTTAGATTGGATTTTTCAGTTAATTATGTGCCTCTCTGAAAGAAAATTTTTAGAGTAGAGGCACAGAATTAATTGAACAACCTGTAGTAAGTGGTTTCACAAATACTACTATGTAGAGCTCTAGAAATAAGCAAAACAAGCAAGACCTATGTTACAGTAGGTATAGATTTTGAAAGAACTCAAGTAATCAAAAGCTTTTTTAAAATCTTGTTATCTAATGTAAATAGTAATAACGTTTCGTATTTAGCGTAACTTCATTATTAATACTTTGTAGTTTGAATTTCTAAACTTCTTTTTTGAGAACTTGAGCTTAAAATGCAAAATATTATTATACCACCCCCAAGCAGGCTAATCGTGTTATACAAGGCGCTTGGAACCGATTTAATCTTGTTTGGGATTAAAAATGACATAAACTTGCAAGATACTAACAAATACGCTTACTGTAGAGATAACACATTTGTCATCAAAAGCTATTAGTTATATCTAAAATGGCATAGAAAGTTCTAAAAAGTTTTTTTGAAATTTTAAAAACTTTTTTTTAAATTTCAAAAATTTTAAAATTAGTTTTTAAATCATCATTGAACAATAGTTACAAATTACAGTAATAACAACAATATTTTAGAATCAATACCTGGAGTTTGAGATCTTTGACATGCCTGGTCGAAGTCGTCGCAGTACTCCTAATGTATGTCATGCCGGCCAGAACGAGACTAAATGTTGTCTATACGATCTCATAATCGACTTTGAAAAGGTTGGATGGGAGTTTGTCATTGCTCCGAAAAGATACAACGCCTACATCTGTAACGGCGACTGTAATGCTCAAGTAAGGGAAATTTTACTGGTTTCAGAAAATTTTGGTTAATAGTGACCTTTACCTTACAATTGCTTGTTAGCTTACAAAAGTTACTGTAAGGTAATGTCGTACTATAACTTAAAACTCTATAAACCCTTGTAACGTAGCTATAAGCAAAAGGAAATTTTTACAATTTTGTAAATTTCAGAGCCAAGGAATGCCATTGGTATCAACACACGGTTCAATGACGGCCAAAACCCAAACCGACTTCTTCCAATGTTGTCATCCCAAAGACTACACCGGTGTAACTATCGTGTACGTGACGGAGAGTAACCAGATATGGGTCAAGGAGGTGCCAGGAATGGTGGCACGCAAATGCGGTTGTGCTTAAGTCTTATGGTAGCCTTGAAGGTTATATCAACAGATTAGTCTTAACGGTTATGTCATCATACTAGTCTTAAAAGCTATGCCAACATATTAGTCTTAGGGTTTATATCAGCATATTGACTTTATGTCTAGTATCATCATTCTAGCATAACGAAGTATATCATAGTATTGAGACTAGTAGCCTTTTCTCTAAGATCATCACAGTAACTTTAATAGTACAACATAACCGTGAGACTTGCCAACTTTAGTCTAATATCATTATACTAACCTTAATCATATTATATACTAACTATATGGATTATATCACCATACAAAGACACCTTAGATTGTATATCGTCTCCTTAATCTTAGAATCATTATACTAACCTTGAGAACTATATCATCATAGTAAGATCTATCTAGTTATTGTAAGACCTATCCCACTAAGCCTTACATTACTATGGCTCTAAGCATGTAACGCGGTATATAACCATCAAAACGTGTTAGCATACATAATTCGGTTTTATCAGCTACAACTTAATTGTGTGAGTGTCGTATGTGTGTTTATGTTTTGTACAAGGGGTTTTACGCCTTGTACTAGGCACAACACCTTGTTTTTACATACACATGCAAAAACATGTTGGTATACCCAATTAACTCACCCACTGTTTGTGTAATTACATTAATAAGTTTTTCATATTAATAACGGTGTATTTATTCAACTACCGTATCCCAATTGTAATAATTATTCTCACATGATCACATGTATAGGTAACCTTACAGCAAGTATATGTTACTATATAGTTTGTATATGCCACTATACAGCTTGCATACGTTACTATACAGCCTATATTTGTAAGCATATATAGCGCGTATACACCTACATATACTGTGTATCGTACTACTCAACCACAACTAACAAATTCGTAAAACGGGGCTCTTCGCTTACTGTAATAAGTAGTTAGTAATTTAATTGTTTTAAGTAGTGTTTAGTTAGGTAGTAATTACTGTTTAGTACGTAAGATGTGGCATTCATCTAAGTCTATATATACATCTTGACAACGATAATAAGCGTAGTAACCTTAAAACTGTACGTTTACAATCGTACACGTTTTATAATACCATCTTGTAGTATATGTTACCATCTTACTATAGTATTTGGTGCTACACAACATTGTACTTTCTACTGTAGTATAATATGTTACACAAGCTCATATAAAATACAGTAGACATTGAAAGCGCATCTTACTGCAACAATATATTTACATATTTAATATTAACAGCCAGTTATACTGTAATCGTGTTTGTAGTAACGGCCAGTTGTCTCTTGTGTCTGTGGTATCTTTGTTCTTTCTGTAGTTGTTTGTCTACAGTAAGGGCTTATAACATAACATATATCTTGTATAGGAAGTTATTATTATTAATATTATTATTTTATTATTATTACTAGTACTATAACTATCTCATTATATTGTAACGGTATTTTATTGTAACCTTTATCTAGTATCTTAACTTAATGTATGATATATCTTTTATTGTGAACTAAAGTTTGTTTTATTACCTATTTTATAATTTAACTTATTGTATATAAACTGATAGTAAACCACATGTTAGACTAGTAATTCGTCAGGTTTATTGTAATACTTTGTATCTTAGTGCTACGCACCTGTCTCTACTATAAGATATTCCATTTGATAGCACATCTCTATATCTTTCAACTGTAATACAACAATGTTCTCACTTTCGACTTTCTCTTACTGATCTGCTACACATTCCTTACCTACTTTTATATAGTTGTACAGTATTATCATAGACTTGGTGTTGCTATTGTAATTTTATTGTAGACTTTGTATTGCTACTTTAATATTATAATAGACTCGTTGTATCTAGAACATCTTTATTAACATTGTTATTGTAAACAAAACCTTATTGTAATATTATCTTAGGCCATAGAAACGGTTGTTTGTTTATATCATGTGGTAGAATACGGTATTTAATTACAGTACCAGTCTAAGTAGAAACGAATAATCTTTATCGCAAAATTGAAATTAGGTCTGCATTAGTGTCTTTCGTATTTTAGAGCAAGACTGATAAAATTTTAAAAAATAATTAATATTATCATCTGGTGTAATATCACTCATTGTTTTTGGTATGTTTTGTTTTTTATTGGTTTGAATAAATAATTAATTGAAGATTGTGCCATTTTTTATTGACAAAACATAAATAAACATGTTGTTTTCAAGATAAAGTATGATTATAAGATCAACAAAAATCCTTTAACAAACTAAAACGTTCCAAAAAGAAACATTAGGTTTCGGATTGTCTCTTACAACGACCGCCCTGTTTGAGAGCTGTGGCATAGACGACTGGTGAAATTCTGCTTGCTCGTCAACAAAGAAAGCAATAATTCTTAACAGAATTGTAACGGCAGGTGAAAAATGATCTATGAGGACGAATTGGAACAAAAAAGATCTTGGGTCAACAAGACAAAAGGTCCAAACTTCACTCTAAACGCAACATACGCGAACCGTAGGTATTGTTGTGTATATAGTAGGATCACGAGGATATTGTCTAGTATGAGCTGTTAAAACCTAATGAACCAATTACTTCTGTTTGTTACAAACGACGGAATTAGTTGATTTTGACAAACGAATTTGAATTCCAGGGCAACTGCGGAAATTCTGCCGTGACAAGGCCATCCTTCTTCATGAAAACGCTCGGCTCCACTTGTCAAAACTGGTTACTGATACCACTAAAAAACTAAAATTGCAACAGCCAACCCTCTCGCTGTACTTACGAAATATTGCCTCTTTCAATCGTCACTTATATATTTAGATCAATGGCACATGGGAGAATATTATATTTGACTACAGTGTTTTTTTTTGTACTATAAAAGCATAACCCGGATGAAAAACAAACAAAAAAAGATATGAAATATAAACCACTAATTCAGACAGACGTATCACGTGCATATTTGCATAATCCGTCTACTATTATCGTATATGAACCTACTGTTTGACTCGAAATACGATACTGGTAGAAGCGTCAACATACTCTAATTTTTAATTTTTTCGTTACGAACTTTCATAGTTACTGACGTTATTCATAAACCCACCCGATTCCTTACTCTTATCTTTCATAACCCCCACCCCCCCCCCCTCCCTTTCAGTCTACAAACATTATTTAACACATCAGTAAATCCTATAAATGTATAAAAACCACTCGAAAGTAATAAATGACAGTAATCAGATATGCAGACACGTCATGCTACATCTCCACACCATAATTAGAAACATTGGCCGTCAATGACGTTTATTTATCGACATCAAATGAAACATTTATGCTGGCGCTTAACTATGTATGCAAACATAAAAGGAACAGTGAGTTTCGAAAAAGTAACGATACATAAGTGATATGCTGCATGATAATAGTTGTGCACATTATGATAGATGTAGATGAAAGAAAAGATGCTATTGAAACTAACAAATGCACGTACTGTAAGCACATAAGTATAGTATAAGGTTGTGCAACTAATTCTGAGCTCTTTCCAAAGCAAAATTTCGGAGTTAGGGAGCACAGAAGTATTTGAACAACCTAATACTTACTACAACAATAAATAACTCATGATCTATTAGATGCCTGCAAAGACATGATATAATGTTTGTATAGTGATCTAATCATATTATAATTTATATACGTGCTATTATGCACGTTTCCCGGCCAACTTTTTTTACTTTTAAAATTCCTTTTACTTCTTAAAATTACTGTATATTTGCACTTTAAAGCGGTTGTGAACCAAATAGACTTTGGGAAAGGAAGTTCTCGCAAAAGACCACACATTCAACCACCGTTCCTTTAATCAGAAAACATTTTGTAGTTTTTTCTTGCGTGTAGCTGGTCATGTTCGTATGTCATTAGACTGCGCAAATGACAAAAAAATATTTGTACAAAAATGCGGTTCTTGTTTCTGTCAACATCACAAAGCTGTGTAAATCTGAAGATTTTGTAAACATAAATAACAGTAATGTAAAACTTGATATAATATGTTATCAGTAGATTAAAGGACATCTTACTACTAAGTTGTTCACATAATTCTGTGCTCTTGAATTCTAAAAATTTTTTAGGGGGTACTATATTATTTGAACAAACTAATATATTTTAAAAATATACTTTTTTTACTGTAATTTACATGTATTTTATTTACAATATGTAGAAAAACCTCTACACCACAGTAACCTACGTACCAAGATGCAAATTACTCTTATTGATAAAAAAAACCTACAAACCAGATGCTAAATTTACATTTTACGCAATCTCCTTAAAATAAATCTTTACATCTTTGTGTATGTAAAAAAAGAAGAAGCTTTACATGTACGATGATGACTAAAGAATACAGTATCTCATCCCTACTCCTTTCTGTTGTGCATCAATGAGAAAATGTTGTTGGCTTATGTTCCGGTAAATAGATAGTTAATTATTGTTATTTACTCATGTTAACATTTCACAATATTCACACAAAATGGCATTTCCATTTTGTTGACAACAAGAGTTTGTTTATTTCGCTTAATGAGTCTACAGCAACAGACACAACATTATTCACATGTTTTTAAAGATTCTCGGTATACGAATAGTAGTTTGATCTAGAAAAGCAGAATCAATAGTCAAAACACGCAATTTTAAAATTAAAAAAGCCGGCTTTTGAACTTGAGAAAACCGATGTTTGTGTTGACATTTCGTTCACCTGTTATTGGAAAGTTTATTTAATTGATAAAACAGTTTGCAAAACTAAAAACCAAGATTTTAGTAAGCATAAACCTCGTCTGGACCTTATTACACTATAAAAAACCAAAAATATTTTAAACTTTAAAAAATGTCATTCTATAATGTCATAAACTATATACGTTATAGCACAAGTGATGCTAATGTAACATGTTGCACTTTAAACATTCAAATAGTAAGATCCTACTAAAGAACACTCCAAATACGTATAATTATGTCCTATTTTTTAAACAAGTCATTTTAATGAACTTCACCGACCCGAATGAACTAAATGTGTCTACTCGTCATCTTACCATAACCTCGTCATACAGATTGCAAAGAAACATGTCAATTGTACGATAGATGGTTAGTTTAGGACATTTTGGACTGAATAAGTTAATATTGATAAAGTGCAACATGTCATAATGTGCAGTGATGTTCACACATACATGTTATACGAAGTCTTGCAAGGTTTTACTGTATGGAATATGATGATAAAGTTTTACAATTATTAACAAAAAAATGTTTTAATTTATGCTTTTATGAGATACGGTAACTTACAGCTAACCTTATTTTAAAAAGTTAAGTGTACTGTAACATAAAGCAAAATTTATTTTTAGTCATTACAGACCAATAAAACCAAATTAAAACAACAACAACATGTACATTATGACGAAAAATCCTTTTAAAAATTAAAATTTATAGACATTGTTTACAATGTTACACTATAAAAAATATTAAACCAACACTTAAGGAAATTGAGGGATAATCGTTGTTGTTAAAATTTAAAAAACAAATAAAATAGCATTGGCATTGAGAGGTTTATCTTGAGATTACGGTCTCATCAATAAGGTTTTGTCAGTAAGTTCAAGAAAACAATATAAAAATTGGTGTCTTGAGGGTGCTATTACAAAGGACAATAAAAAAGCTGTCATTATAAAAAGAGTGTCATATTATCAAAAGTTGTACTAAACAAATTTCATTGTATTTATATACCAACGTAGTACAACGTCCTATACTAAACCCTCACAATTAATATTTAGGTACCAAGCCTAGTACAAATTAGTTGTCTCAAACTTATCATAGAAGTAGGAACCTCTCTAAAAATTCGAAGATCTTCAAATTATGTCACTTTTTGATAGTAAAAAGTATAAAACACGGTAAATACTGTAATCTGTTTAGTAATGCTCTCTGAACACTAGATTCTTTTTTAGATGAGACATTGATACTGGTAAAGCCTTTTTGACCTTTAACCGTCTGCAAAGCCGGAAATTAAGCGAGAATGACGCATAAAAATGCCTGAAAATCGACAAGTTTGCAAGTTTTGTATATCTTGGCATTTTGACAAAACAAAACTTTAAAAATTTTAAAAAATTTAAAATGTTTAGGAGATGGTAAAATACGAGTAGGCTTCCTTTGTAAAAAGCTAAAATTAAAAAAAAAACAAAATTTCAAAATGAATTTACAAAAAAAACGTGAATTAACTGAACATATAGTTTACGTTATCCCAGCCATGTGCTACCCTGTAGCTGCATCAAATCGCTTACTTTTCTTACACAGGCTTTCAGCAACGGCCTCAGCGCCTCATCACAACTTGGTAGCTCGAGAAACAGGATTACCTAGATTCCAATTCAAAAAAGCTACAATGGACTGCACTGACGGTCATCGCCATATCCCCACTATTCCGCCTCACGTCTGAAATTATTAGGTTGTTCAAATAGTTCTGGGCCCTTTTTCAAAGCAGATTTTTGGGGTTTGGAAGCACAGAATTAATTAAACAACCTAATATCAATTTACCTATAATTAAAAAAAGTAAATATTTTTTCTTTCAAGTAACGTAGGCAAAAATTTAAAAATCCGTTAAAACTTTGAAAAAACGATGATTTTGAAAGTGATCAAATTGAAAATTCCTGAAAAACAAATTCATTTTCTTTGATACCTTATTTTTCCGAAGACCGGTGGGGGTTGTGCTACACAGATCATCTTGGCGTATTTCCTCGACCTGATCAATTGAAATGTGCAAGAGGAAGCCCAAAGAGAAGGTGCTTGCTTTGTATTTTGAAGCTTTAAATTTCTTATTTATGCCTTAAAATTTATTCTAAAATAGTTTTTAATTTTTAAAAATTTACATTATTTTTGAAGTTTTTTTAAATTTCAGCTAATACAAAGATTTTTCAATAGTTTTAACCAATTTGTATAGTGTTATGTTTAGCCTATACCGGAACTAACATCTCAAAACATTCATGAAGTACTACCACTACTGTATGAAGCTAAAGTAGTACCAGTAGAGAAGCGGCACATCTACGATGTCTTCTACACTCCCAAAATTGAAGCTACAGAGTTCAAGGCTACTCCCATTATCATGTTTTTGGGTCAAGTGAGTTGACTTTGGGTCGTATTTTTGTTCTCATCGATTATGATGTTGATAACTATCATAATACTCTTTAGTAGCTATAGTAAAAAGCAAAATATAGTAGATATTTGAAGCCTTACTTACACTATTATTGATATTACTATACTTTTAGTCTAAGGTTATGATAACTATCATAATACCTTCTTAGAGCTATACGAGCAAGCTATATATAGCCATTATTCAAAGCCCTACTTACACTATTTATGATATTACCGTACTTTTAGTATTCTGTTGGCAAAACGTCGATGATCAAGTATTTTGTGGGCAGCGAATACCCAGGCTCAATGATCGGACCCGAACCGACTACTGACTGTTTTACTGCGATATTCTACAGTGATAATCCTCACGAAGAGATGGGTCCTTCATTGATTGCCAATCCTACCCTACCTTTTGGTGTGAGTTTATTTTTTATTACTGTAACTTAGCCAGATATTATTTTTTAAATTTTCTTACCGTATTTTAATTAAATTTAAAAAATTTTAAACTAAGTTTTCAAAATTAAAACCTAAATTTAGGCTTTGCAAAAATTTGGCGGAGCCTTTGAGAACCGCCTTCGCGGAGCGGCGGTGGATTCGAAGATTCTGAAGCACATGACATTCATCGACACACCTGGTATTCTGGCTGGTGATAAGCAGGTCAAATCGAGAAATTAAGATTTTTCACAAATTATTCGATTTATGGCCGATAAAGTGGACTTGATCATATGCGTGTTCGATACGACAAAGCTGGACATGAGCGACGAGTTCAAGCAGGTCCTCAAGGTGAGTTTAGTGGTTGAGTTTGAGGTTTATGATAATGGTTTTTTAAATTGAAACTTGGGTTTTAAAAAATAACTTTGAGAGCTTTTTAAACTGAAAATTATACGGTAAAGACATCACTTTAGGGCCTGACTGGAAATGACGAGAAGATCAAGATCGTACTGAACAAGGCTGATTGTGTTAGTCCAAGTGAACTGGTCAGGGTGAGAGGAGCTTTGATGTGGGGGCTGAGTAAGATCATTGACACACCAGAGGTACCCAAGGTCTACATTGGGTCTTTCACCGATGAATTGAAAAATGTAAGTCCATTGGTATATCAAAGGTCTGTACCATATACCAAGTCTCATGCAAAATTTCAAAATGAATAAAATTTGAATTCAAAAAATTAAAAATGAGATAAAAATAAAATTTCAGCCCAACATTATGAGCGTCTTCAAATCAGACTACATGGACCTGTTCCATGAAATTGAACAAACACCAACAAGATCATTGGCTCGAAAAGTAAATGACATGATCAAGCGTGCCAAGAAGGTCAAACTTCATGCCAGAATCATGACTGAAATCATGAGGTTAAAGGTAAGAATTCATTGAGTTTATAATTATATTATGAAGTCTATAACATCATCCTCATGTGTCGCTTTTAACGTAAAATCTGAGTTGATGTATGACTTGCTTTATATTAAAATACTAATCTTGAGCCAAAGTCTTGAGCATTTCTAGTGCCTTTCATAACACAAAACACTGTTGTTGACTAAACTAACTCAAGAATCAATTTTAGAGAATCAGCAAAGGAAACGGACCACCGATGAAAGCCCTAACAACACCAGTCGTCAAGCTGGCCTTCTTCAACGTGCAAAAAGACCTCGCCATCACTGATTATGACATGCCCAACTTCCAAGTACGGTAAAAACTTATCTTTTCGATTTGCATAGTACAGTTACAATCATAATAACATATTTTCAGAACTTTTTAGAGAAAGGAAAACTCACACAAGCCAAGCACTGGAACAAGATAAACAAGAAAGAAATGGAAAAACTGGACCAATTCATCCTACAAGACATTCCAAAGTAAGTCCAAAATCATACCATAGTATAAACTTATTTGTAAATGAGCCAAACTTAATCTTCAACGAAGTTCGGCTCATTTACAATATGAATACTTCAGCTTCTTGTCAAAAGCCTTATCTTATCAATTCAGAATGCTCCAACTCCTGCCTCACGATGAAAAGAACACAGAATCGATGAAAGATGCCTTCGCCCGCCTCCGTGACATCGTCGAGAAGGCAAATGAAGAAGAAAAGAAGAGCGACGAAACCAGCAAGAAGGGAAGCAAGAAGGAGAGCAAGAAAGAAAGCAAAAAGGACAGAAGCAAGAAGAAAGACAAATCTAAATCAAGGTCGAAGTCCAAGAGTAAAGAGGAGAAGAGCAAAGAAGATAGTAAGAAGAAAAACAAGAGTAAAGACAAGAGCGATAAAAGTAAAGCAGAGAAGAAGGAGGATGAGAAGAGTAAGGGAGAAAAGAAGGAGGACAAGAGTAAGGCCGAGAAGAAGGAAGAGAAGAGCAAGAGTGAAGTCAAGGATGAGAAGAGTAAAGGAGAGAAGAAGGATGAAAAGAGTAAGGGAGAGAAGAAAGAAGAGAAGGAAAAGGAAGAAAAAAAGGATGAAAAGAGTAAAGGAGAGAAGAAGGAAGAAAAGGAGAAGAGTAAGAGCGAAGCCCAAGAAGATAAGGACAAGAGCAAGGCCGAGAAGAAGGACTGATTCCAGTGATCTGCACATTGTTTTACACAATAAACTTGTTTTGAGTCGTATTTATTTTAGGTGATTTTTAAAACTGAGTAACCAGCTTGTTAAACTTTTTTTAAAGTTTTAACTACAATATACAATGTAATAAAAAAAAGTATTTAGATCATCTGTTTTAACAGTTCATCAACTTACAAACCAAGCTTTTTTTACAACAAATCTTTATTATTATTCATAAATTAATCCCCATGATATGAAACAGCAAACTATTAGCTATGTACAGTATTACACGGCGTAATTAAGTAATAAGTTAATAAAAACAATCGTTAAGAAGTAAAGTTGACCCATCTAGGATTAAAATGCTTATTCTGAGTTCCAACGACTGATTCTGAATCGATATGAATCATTCCGGATTCCACAGACTCAATTTCTTGGATCCAGTAGCTAAAATGTAGTACTTGTGGTTGAAGAGACATTGTTCGATGCTGTCATTATCGTTAGTTTTGTATTGTTGTACAACCTCTCCTGTGTCTCGATCCCAAGCAGTTAGTTGACCATCTGATCCACCACAAAATACAAATTTGGAATCAGGAGAGAAACAACCGTTTAGTGAGAGCTTCTAAAAGGAAACATCATAAATTTGCCATAAATTTACTTTAACAAGTAATTATTTATCTAAAAGAGTATACAACGCCTCGACTGCCCAATGATTTCTATAAATATCAAAACCTTTAAAAAATTCAATTTGACCCCTTATACTACCCTCACCCAACTAACCTCTTTATTCTCATGTCCAATTAAAGTCGCCTGTAGTTTGCCAGTAAATGAGTTCACCACCCTCAACATTTCCCCATTTGTAGATATTAATATCGTTTGTCCATCAGGTGAAAAAGTCATGTTTGTCCATTCAAAATTGAACTCATCATCCGGTTTTACATTAAATGTAGCAAATGGACCTTTATCGAAAGTTTTTAGATCATACAACTTAATTGTTTCCGAGTTAATGCCAGCAGCAAAGATTAAACCATCTGGATCGAAAGCTACGATTGGTCGAGATGGCAGGTTCATGACACCCTATAAAAAGAGAAAAGGTTAGAAATTTGTCTTTAATCATCGTTTTTCAAAAACATACAACTTTATATTAACATACTGTTTGAGAAAAATATTTTTTACATCAATGTAACCAAGAAAAATTACTTCTTCACTAAATATTACCTAAAAGTCGAATTTAAAAAAAATACCTGACAAGTAGATACCCGTAGATCCCATAACCTTACTGTATTGTCAAGAGCTCCAGATAAAAACATTTCTTCTGTCGGGTTCATACATAATGTCACAACTCTGAAATATTTTTAATCAAACATAAACTTTGATTTTTCCACAGACATGCCAAAATCAACTTACTTTTTCGAGTGACCAACGAAATAACGAAGATATTGGTTATTAGACAAGGAAAGGTACCTTATTGTGTCTGAAAAGCAATTTTATAGTTGACAATTAGACAAATAAGCATATCATATCACAAAGGCTTTAGAAACCCGTAACTTAATCCCACAAGCTACAAAAAACGTCAAGCGTACTTACTGTCAACTTTGGTCGAAGCACTAATCACATCTTTGGTTCCTCTGACGAAATGTACAAGATTCACACCATACTTTTTACTGTTTATCTAAAACCAAAATAAAATAAATACAAAAAACATACCGTTCTATTCAAAGTCCCAGTCTGTATGTCATAAACTGTCATACAATCGTTATCGTCTGATGTTATAAGTAAATTCCCGTCTTCACTATAGTTTAGATGATTGATTCGTCCATTTTGTTCATGAACAGCCGTTGGAAACAAAGTTCTGATTCCTGCGAGATCTACAAGTCTTGGTGGAAGTTCCTGAAACATATTTTGAGTTTTCACAGTCATGAACATAAGTTTGAACTAGAATTTTTTTAAACAAAACAGGTCAAAGATATTAAACAATATTTCTTACCATTTTTAGTTAATTATTCATGTATATTAACGTCTCTAATGTCAAATGCCTTTGTTTTTATATTAAAATTTTTAAAAGAAGCTTCTACGACAACCAAAAAAAAAACGTTTTTCAGCTTCTTTTTACTAAAAAAACGCAATTTTACTATTATTTTTTTCATTGGCATTCCGTTTTAGTAATGGTTTGTTTCCGTTGCGGGAAACATAGCAACATACGATGTAAATATAAATTACTCCTCCCGCAGTAAACAGCTTAAGGTTTTAAAATGGATTAGTAATATATTGTTTTGATAGGTGGTCAAGCAGCCTTTACAGTGCAAAAATTAAAAGTGACTTATATTGTTGTAGATGTCGACTTTACAAAATAAGCCATTTTTATTGTAAAATGTTTTTTAAAATATTTTTTTTCTAAATCCACAGAGTTTTATGTTTCATATAATCTATGGTGCTATGTCGAAAAAGTCCTCGTGTATTCGAAGACTTTGCTCGAATGTTTTGTTATTTTTGTTTCGAAATAGCCAAAACAACAACATTGTTTACTTCTACTTTGGAACGCCCAGAAAGAAAGACCGTTGGTGGGTATTTGAAAGCTTGAGAGTCTCGTATTGTGACTATAAAGTTGTTCATCTACAGCTATTATCAAAGATAATATTTTATTGTTGATAACGCTAATTGTCGCATATTCAACTCATTCTGTGGATATTTGAAGCTGAATAGTATCAAACATGTTGTCCAGAAACGGAGCTAAACTGTTGGAGAAAGTGGTGCCACTTTTGGAGAATGGAGCCATTCCAACCAGAGCAGCTAGTACTCTTGGTACTGCCCCGGAAGTCAGGGAGAAGTTGGGCAGAATTGACCACGAGCCTCATCCAACTTCATCCGAAGAGATCGTCAAGTCCGAACGCAACGAACTTCCACTTGGCAATGCTGGAATGAAGCTTATTGACAAGGATAAGTTGGATCGAATCCCAAAGCAGCCGAATCCGGAACCGACGCATTCCGAAGAGGTTGTGAGGGAAGAGCCTGGTGGCGATGTTCCTCCACCTCCTCGTGTTCCACCCACCCATACCCATCATCCTGCTCATCAGCCAAGAAAGTAAATCAAATTATATTGAGGGTGTTCTATATTGTGTAGAGATTATCTATTTGCTGTACAAATGACATGAAACTATTTGAAATGTGTATATTACATATTATTTTTGCAATAAAATTTATATATTATGATTTTCTAGGGTTTTAGTAGCTATGTAAGGTTATTTGTTACCTAAATAACCTTTTTCTTCAGTTTTTTATCTAAAATTTTAAATTTTTGTGGCTTCGGTTAAAAACATAAAATTTACCGTTAGCTTAAGGCATTATAAATACTATTTACTATGAGAAAACGATTTTTCCAGCTGCAAGGGTGTACTTTAACGTATTTTGAAAGGTGTTATTTTAGGAAAAGCGTAAACAAATGATCTTTAGAAATGGTTGACCTGCTAAAAACATAAAGATAGATAAGAACAAAGGTTAAATTACAATGTCGAACCTTAAGCAATAGTGTAATCTCTTACAATAATATTTTGTTTACAAAGTTAGACAAGGTGAACATGATAGCAATTGAAAAACGGTTCAATTTTATCGTAGATGTGAATAATAACATAGATTTTTGACTTAAACTAACAAAATAATATAATCTATCAGTTTGTCTAGATTTTGGTAGTTTTTGGCTTCGGTGATGGATTTGGAGATGATTTAGGAATAGAACTTGCTTTAGCATTTTTGTTTTCTTGACCTTTTGGAGTTTTTTTAGTAAGGGAAGTTGGCTGTGGCGAAGGATTACGTTGACTTGCTTGGTTAGCTCTAGACGATGGTCGTTTTGGAGGCGCTGTTGAAACTGAAAATCATCATGAATACTTTGCTACTACCCTTTTTAAAGACCTTAAAACGCTTTCTAGCCCTAGAAATGCATCAGAATGTTTGATCTACCTTGTTTAGGAACAGTAGAAGCTCGTCTCCCGTTTTCAGCCAAATCCGTCATCACAGCTTCTCTATTGGCCAATCTTTCCCTGTCCCATGTCTGTCGCAGTTGTCGTCGTAGAGCGGCACCGTTTAGTGTCCGTGGTATTTCATTGACAAAGAATACACTTCCTCGAAGCTCTTTGAACTGTGGTATCTTACTCGAAATGTGTTGTCTTACTTCGGCTGTTGATAACACAGCGTTACTCGAGTTTTTCACGATAAAAGCAGCTGGTACTTCTCCAATGGTATGACTTTGTTTACATACCACAGCACAGTCTTCAATGCCTGGATGACTTCGTATGTTACACTCGACGTCGGTTGGACATAACTGGAGGTTTAGATTAACTTTGTATAATATTGAAATTTTTTTAAAGATTTTAAATGATAGAATGAAAAAAAATATTCTTAAAATTGTGGATTGGGCATTTGACTTGTGTTTGAATTGGTATAGGATCATAAAGGGCATGAAACATACCACAATGCCACGGAATTTAATGATTTCTTTGATACGGTCAACCACGTAAATACCACCTCGTTCATCGTAAAATGCCGCATCTCCTGAACAGTTTTAAAAAATTAAAAGTTTTTATGATAGATTTTTAAAATTAAAAAAATAAAATTTTTAAATTTTTAAAAATTATAGTACGCCACATAGAGCTCTGAACAAGCAATAACAAATAAAAGTGCGATATATTGTTTGTGGTATAAATAGTTTTTATTATTTATATAGCAAGTAATAATGGTTTGCACACTCACCAGTTCTGACATATCCCTCATTGTTGTCTCCATTACTTTTATGTTTTAGACTTTGTAGTAACGGAATGGTACTGTCTTGCTTCTTCACACACAAATGACCTACTTGCCTCGGGGCACACAGGTTTTTGTTGTCAAAGTGTAGAATCTATAAGGTGCAAGAATTCTTTAATTCGTATTTTACTTTAGTTATATTACTTTGAAAGTACATTTAAAAATAAAAGAAAATTTAGTTTTATATTTAAAAAAGATAAAATAATGTATTGTAACCCGGAAATTATGATAGCTTGGACATATTTTTTAAATAAACGTATTTTACTTTACCTTCATTAAATAGCCTGGCAGCGGAGAACCCACACACTCAATGATGTCACTTCCAAAGTGCGAAAATGAACAAATCGATCCAATTTCTGACATTATGTATACTGAAAAAAAATTTTAAACCATTGCAAATATTTGCCAATTCTTAAAATACAACAGTAAAAATAAGAGACAAAGTTTTAAAAATTTGATATTATGCGGCCAGAGAGCGACGACGTATTTTACCTTGACGTAGGTCTCGTATGGCCAAACGTTCTTTGCATTTCTTGGCCGCTTTCGAATCCAAGGCTGCTCCGCCGACAATTAAAGTGCGTAGGTGTTGGCGAAGGTTTACATTTTCCAAACTTAGATCGGTAGATAGGAACAAAACCATTGGGGGTGTCACGTGGGCATATGATATCTAAAAATTTTTTTTGCTATTAAACTTATTTTATATAATCAATACGTAAATTTAAAAAAAATATTTTTGAAATTTTAAAAATTTTAAAAATTTGAAAAACGTTTATTTATAAGTTTTAAAAAACCCACCTTATTATCACTCAGCGCCTTCAAAAACACTTTGGAAGAATACTTGTTGATCATAGTGACCTCAGCACCATTAAATAGAGCATGATACAGCGATGTGAACCCATATAAGTGATGTATGTTCAATGGTACCAAAAACTTGTCAGTACTAGTTGGAGGACCATAGATAGACAATGATAACTGCTGTAGATTCAACAATATTTGATGGTGCGTTAGATGGACTGGTCGGGACGGTCCTGTCGTTCCAGATGTGTAGAATATAAAGTAACCATAAGCGTCGTCTAGGTCGGTAAAGTCTGTTGGTATGATCGAGTTCTTGGTGGAGTGAACAACAAAAGTTGACTGTGAAGTTACTGATGCAGTTTCGAAGTTGTATTCTGATTCTGGAGTTGGGACGTTGTGGACTGGGATTCTGGAATTGATCGTGAGAAAGTAAAGTTATTTCAATATTATTGACTTAGGCTTAGGTAAGATCACATTTTACAATTTTTAAAAATAATGTTTGTATCATATATACTGCTATACCAAAATGACATATACTGCTATTTTGATAACTTACATAGCCTTGCTTTCCCGTTTAGTCAGCCGACTCAAGTTTGTATCTCCAATGACTTCTTCAAGCTTTCTGACGATCTTTACCCTGCCACTACCTCTCATAATTGCCCTTCTTTTCACATCTTCCATTTTGGCTGTAAACTGACTTTCTAATATAGCATGTGTGACTTCCGACTGGTCGATTTGGTGCCATATTTCGTCTAAAAATTAGTGGTAGTTTAGGTTGAAGTAGGGTCGTATAAGGCTTTGAAAAGGCTTTAGGGTAGCTTTGAAAAGGCTTTAGGTGAGTACGTATCTTCTATTTACTGTATGAAATCTTTCAAAATCTCAAATTTTGCTCAAAGTTTTTTCCTCAAAATATTTGTCTTTACATATTGTTTAACAACCAATGCTCATTTCCGCTCGTGTGCCAAACTTTCCCTTACCCACAGCGAGATTTCCATTCACGCACACCATCCGACATCCCAACTGCGCCGCTGCCAAATGCACAAAACAGCACGCACTACAATTCGACGCGATAAGTGCCACTTTGGACTTGTTCTGAATTCCAATCTCCTTCAGATGCTGAGCACATTTGTTTGTGATTGGCGTGAATTCCTTGTATTTCACTGTTTCCGTGGATTCTGCGTCGCGCTGAAATTTGTGTTTTGAGTTTTATAATAAGGAATTGATCTTTTACTTTATTTTCAAACTAAAACATTTTTTTTTAAAATTAAAAAAAATTTTTTTTACATTTTTTATTTATTTTTATAATTTAAAATTGATTTTAAGCCCGAAGCGTCTAGAGAAAGCTTACAAACTGCTTGACTCGACTATCTTTGCTAACACTGTTTTTGTTTGAACTTGGAAATAATTTGAAAAACAAACAAATGGCCTAAAGGTACACGGGATCCCACAATGTAAAAATAGAGTTTTTGAAAAAATAGGTATAGGGACTTTTACAAGGGATTTCGAAAAAATACTTTTTAAAGAATAGTTTTTTAAACATTTTTTTAAAAAGGTTAAAGGATAGATGGTTAGGCCGGCTTACTGTGTAAATTTACTTGTAGTGATAAACACGGGCCGTGCTGGGCCTGATTTTGAAGCTCAGCCCAGGTCCGGCGGTCAACCGTGAAGTTTTTTTTTTTCTCTAGCCAGTCAAAAATACTCAGGCCCCAAAAATTATTTTCTTTTTTCCAGCCAGGCCTTCTGGTCAAACGATCTCTTCCAATTTTAACTCAAAACACTACTACAATCGGGCCGGGCCTACACGGGTTTCCCAACTCTAAACAGGGTATTTTTTAAGCCGTTTTTAGCTTATATTATTGCAACTTTTTTTAAAAAACACGTTATAAACAAACGTTTTGCTTTTTTTCTTTTTAGTTTTCTTAATTCTTCAAAATTTTAAAATCTTTTAAGAATACTTGGTCTCATTAATCAGAATTTTCTATTTCATTTTAAAAATTTTTAAAAACTTACCAAAGCCACCGCTTCTTGATCAAAACCTGAGATTTTTTCAAAAAAGGCATCGGCAAAATTTCTGAAGCTGGCTCGTAGATCAATGTCTACCAAGAATGGTGACTGTATTTGCATGACGATTTACTAAAAATAGATAATTTCTTTAATAAATAGGAAATTATATTAGAAAACCGTTTTTTATTTTAGAATAAAATACGAAAGGCAAAGTTAAATTTCTAGTTATACAAAATTATTAGGTGAAATCTCTAATCATCACAGCAAATTTTACAGAACGAACAGTAGCAGATCTCAAAAATGTAGCCAAAATGACAAAAGTATTATAACAACGTAATCGTTTCTGTTCTGTTTGCTGGCATTTGAAGGAAGCACGAGTTAGAAATGCATTAGGTACTCATCCCTTCCGGCTGTAATGACTAAAAAACTCAAATTTGATATTCATCGTTTCTTACAAAACTTTTTATTTTGTTTTTAGACAGCATGTTGTTGTAGGTGGCTATAAAATAAGTTTAATGGTAGGGCTGTTACTTTTATATTGCTACATTTTGCACTTTTATTTTGTTTTGGACATTATTTTGTTGTTTTTTTAAATTTTCTGTAATTGGGTGTTAAACCAGAATGTATTTATTCTCGTATTTTACTATTACATTTCAATTTTCAATCTTTTTCATAATACAGTAACTCTTTATCTTACTATTACATATAAATTACAGCTATATGTACAAACCAAGAACTACACAACAAGAATATGAAGCTCACAAACGTCGCTTGGTAGATCAATTCGTATTCCAGCTGGCACAACTTTGGGTAGTAGCTAGGTGTAAATGTCCGCTGGTAAAATGGCATTCGTTAAACCATCTCGACTGTTTTTCGGTTGATCCATGGCTAGTCGATGAAATACGATTGTGTACTGAAGGTTTGATTGACGAAATGGATGGAAGGACCAAGGTTGTGATGCGACAAAGGTAGGACTTAAAGAAATTGAAATTTTTTTGATTTTTTGAAACGACTGCCTATAACATGATGGGAAGATGGAGAAGGAGGGGGAGATTAAAGAATAACAGCCCAAAGTTTAGGTTAAAAATATCTACCTAAAGATTTTAAAAAAATCTTGATTTAAAATCCTTTTTCAATATAAACAAAACTTTTAGAGAAAGGGTAAGATGGAGAACAGACATAGCGCGCAGGTTGAGCCGATGCTCAGAAAGTAATGACAGTTTGAACCTTGAACCTGATTCACTTTGTAATAGTGCCAGAAGACAATGACTAACAAGTTGGGGCCAAAAATAACGCAAAATTTTAAAATGCGTTTTATGGCCGTCATTATTTACGCATCAAGATGAGACTTTACGTATATAGCTATTCAAAGAAATTTAAATAAAGTGCCTTTGACATATTTTTTTATAAAGACTTCTTTCATATAATTGTTACATTGAAGATGTTAAAAGATATTATTATAACTAATACCTGCATTTGTCGTATTTTACAAAAAAAATTTTCATCTGTATTCGATTTCTATATTTATTAATTAAATTTACTGTATTTCACGCTTTCTACCTAAAATCTTTTGTACAATCTGACAGGAACGCCCAGTTTTGGAGCTAAAACAACTTCGGCCGTTTTCAAGTTCTTATCGAATGGAAGATCGGCATTAATTTTAAAATTGTAAATTAAGTGTGCAATCATGATTTTGGCTTCACGTGTAGCAAATTTCTGACCGATACAATTACGAGGACCAGCACTAAACGGAATGTACTCTGGAGGTATCTGCTTTCCTTCAGCAAATCTCTCTGGATCGAACTTTTCGGGGTTGGGGAAGGCCTAAAAAAGTCGTATTTGGTTTTGTAATAGTATAAGAAAGGCAATACAATATTTTCAATTTTTTAAATTTTTGTTTTGAAATGATACTTGAATTTTTTTCAGAAAACTTTCCAAAAAATCCAAAGCCTCTCCTATCCATACCTTCTTGTTCCAATGCAGCACCAATGGTGATATATGAATCGTAGTACCAATAGGAATAGTATACCCTCCCATCTGGATCTCATTAACAAGTTGCCTTTGAGTAATTGGTACTGGAGAACAGATCCTCATAGATTCTTTAAAGACCTTGTCCAAATACGGCAGCCCTTTGAGTCTTGGTGAGGTAAAGTCATCATCATTCGTGAATTCAGAAATCAGTTCTTGATAAAGCTTCTCTTGAACTTCTGGATGCGTGGCTAATGCCCAGATGGTCCATGCTACTGCGTGGGAGGTGGTGTCGTGGCCTGAAATAAAGCAAAGTTACAGTAAGCTTCATTTTTCACAAAAAATGTAACTAAAAATGTTTTAAAATTTCATATATATTCATGACATTCATAATTTACTTCATCTTCTCACCATTTAACTGATCAACCTGACTTGCGTGTTAGGACCCAAAAAAAAGTTAAAGCCAATTTTTTGAAAATTTCACAATTTTTTAAATTTTATGTCAGTAAAAGAGAAATTCATACCTGCGAACATGAAGGTATCGACCTCTTCTCGTAGGTTCTCGAACGGAAGTTCACCGTCTTCATAAGCTTTCAGTAGAATACCCAAAAAGTCTGGTTTTTGAGTGATATGATAACTTTCAGAGTCTTCTTTGCGTTCTTCTACGCGTTCTTGAATCACCTGGAAATCGACCAAATTTAAAAAAAAATTATTTAAAGAATAGTTTTCAAAAAATATTGCCCCTGGCATGGCTATAATTGAAAACAGTCCCCAAAACCATCTTACCTTGTCAGTCAGCTCTTTCAGTATTTTCAAGGTCTCCACCGTATCCTTTTCGTATCCAGTCAATTTCCACAAAAAGGCATTGAAGAAGAAGTAATGTGGCTTTTGTGACACGATCATAGCCAATGCGTTGAAGTGCTTCACCGCTTTGACATACGGTGTTTCCGAGTTGTTTTGGGCATCTAGATGCACTCCCATTGCGGTTTCAGCAATGATATCCAAAGCAAGATTCTTTACATTACCGTAGAGATTCACTTCGACGCCATCTTCAATCTGGCGGAGGTTGGAAATCATTGTCTAAAAAATTGTGGCATTATTGAAAATGAACTGAGTATTGGCTATGTTTCAAGCTTTTTTAAATAATTATGTGCCCCTAACTCCAAGAATTTTCTCTGACAGGAGGCACAGAATTATTTGACCAACCTAATAGTTGTTGAAATTCATCGCTCATTTTTAATTATGGTAACAATTAACTACCATAATGACTTACCCTACAATGCCGGTCAATAATAGGAGCATATTCTTCAAGTTTTTGGAAATGGAATCCAGGAGTGACCAATTTTCGAGTTTTGTGCCACCTTTCTCCATCGCCCAATAATAATGCTGGTCCTAGCCATCTCTCTACAAACTTGTAATCTCTGCCTTTTTTCAACTCTACTGAACTGTTCGTTATTACCTAAAATGACATTATTTAAAAGTTTAGAAAAGAAATGTAAAAATAAAGTCAAAACAAAAGACAATAACATATCAGTCAATAACAACTGCCACAATATATCTTATAGCAACATTAAGTCAATTTATATAGTATTATTACAGTAACCCAATGTTAATAAAAAAAGGGACTACTAGTAAAAAAAATCAAATTATAAAGTAATTAAACTACCGTATATTTTACCGTACCTTAACTGCGTCCGCATCTAATGGCACAACCGAAAGCTCATTAAAGAACCAGCCTGCCATTACAGTATGCCCTTGTTCTAGTGTTTTAGCAGCAAAGTCAAGGTAAAATTGGGTAAATTCTAAAAAATTAAAATGTTGAATACTTTGCTCCAAACTTGGTTGATTATCTATATGCCAAGTTATACCCTCACATCTACATATAAAATCAAAATTTTGTTAACCAACCCTGAAAAACTAATTTTTTAAAATTTTGACAAAATCTTTAAAAATGCCTTCTAATATTTGTCATCTTATTTTATCTTTAGACCCTTACTGTCAAACTCCAGTGGTATGAAAGGAATACTGCCAATGAAAGGAACATGACCAAAGTGTGGTATATTCCTGGCTGTCCTCCATTTGTAATAGTACTCTTGTAAACCTTTCAAATTAGCTAAAATGTAAATTAGAATTAGAGCTAAAACAATTTGAAACCACATTTTTAGAGCAAAAACCACAAAACAAACGCTTCACAAAGTGCTGATGCAGCGATTGTTCTTGATAAGATATTACACTAGAGTTATAAATAATATTACACTTGGCCGTTTGACAGCTCTTTTACTGTAGATTTGTTGAAATTAACTATTTTAAGTAGGGTTTATTTAGATTTTGAGTATTAAAATATAAATTTTGTTAATTTTTCAGTAATAAGTCAATAGTAATGACAATAGTTTACTAGTTAGAAAATAAAAAAAGTATTTTTAGACCTTCCAAGCCTCAAAAAAGTAAAAAGCAAGCAAAAAAAAGTGAGTTTAGAAGTGAAAAGACAAGAAAATAGTTGAAAACACCAAACTTTGTTCAGACAAATTGTAAACATTGCTACCTTTTGTGTTTCTTTTATACGATCTGCCATTTCAATCATCATCTTTACTCTAAAACAACTAAATTGCATTATACGCAACATTGGTTTTACTGTATTGTTACAATTTGCGTGAGTTTTGTTTCAACTACAATCAAAAACAAAACGGTTTTGACAACATTTTTTGCTTTTTTAAACTTGCTATACATATTTCCTGACCCTTGGAGAGGTGAATAAATATAGTAAAATACCATAAAAATGTAGTAATTTTAATAAAAAGTGAGCCCACCCATATGGCCCAACCAAACTTACCCCTATTTGTTTTACAACCTTGCTTCAAAAATAAAACTTTTAAAAAGTCACGTAATACTTGTCTAGCTTACTGTTTCAAGCTTGGATTTAATCCTTCGTGAATGTCGATTACACATTAAATTTTAAAATTTCTGCTCTGCAAAATTATCTTCTATAAAACACAAACGACTGTTTCAAACTATAGTTCTGCTAATTTAAAAACAAACAACTTGTCATATAGTTTTTACAAAAGACATTAATAATAGACTTATATTATACAGTAACTTGAAACTATTTTTCGCTGTTTTTGCAAGTTTTAAAGCCGCTGCAGTTTATTATATCTATTGTGTTTTGTTGCAAAACCAAAAAAAAATGTACAATTAAAAATAATATTTTTGCTCTTAAATTTATATCATGTTTTTCAATAAAATCATAAATGCACTTTTTTTTGAAAAAGGCTTTATAATAAGAAACAAAAAAAAAACACAAATTCATACGGTTTCTAATCAGTTAAAGCACTTTTATTCTCGTCATAAACATAAAACCCACAGTAAGCTTGATTTCTACAAGTCAACTACAATAAAGTTCACAACACGAATGCAGCCTACACAGGCTGCCGTCTACGTTCTAAACTCTTGAGGAAAAACCACCACGACTCGTTGGCTCAAAATCCAGGACTACCTGGATGGTGCTCAATTGGAAACAATTACAATAAATTGCTCCGACGGTCTTTACCAAACCCTCACCTTTCCCCCTCGCGTTTCAAATTATATATCTTGCGCTGAAATGAAGAATAATCTCCAAACATCTTAAGCCAAGTTCAAAACTAACTCTCAAATAACTGAAGCAATCACAGTGAACCTTGTAATAACCTCATTCCCCCTCACTTTCCTCGCAAGTCATCAAAGACAATTAGCAAATGATGCAAATATAAACTCATTCCGAAGAGGGAAAGGACAAAACAGGTGTGAATTGGTGGAAATTTATTCCTTTCGGCTCCTGACAGTATCAAAAACAAAAAAAGGCAGCGGCGACAGAACGGCGCCAAAACTTCTTTTTCTTTGCTGGCGCCGCACCGGAAAGAGACCTCGATGAATGGAAACGAGACTCGACCTGTTGTGTTGTGCAATTTGTCATCCCCAATCGAGGGTTTGATTGACAAAATTATTTCACGCTTGTCGATTAATTAAAGGGGGAGTCGATACGGTGGTGTTGAGAAGCGTATCGATAGGCGTAAAATACGTGTCACGTTAAAAACCGTAGCATTGCCTAATCAGGGGTAGTTAATTCGATTTGTGAAGGCACGGGTTTCTTCTGTTTTTGAACCTTTTTGCGATTTATAATATTGTATATGTACTACTTTAGTTCATAATGAACTACATTAAGCCATAATCGACTACTTTAAGTCATAATGATATAGGATAAAAGGGGATGTTTTCAGTTTAGCGTTTTTAAAAGTACTGTAACTGCTATGTCTTATGTCAAAATTTAAAATTTTTTAAATTGTCATTCATTTTTCGATGATTGAAAATATACAATAAAACTCCTTTATAACAAACTCCTCTATAACGAAAATCCCGTATGACGAACAATTTTTGAATCCCCGTCTATCCCTGCACAGTGCATTTAAAACTCCTGTATAACGAAACTCCTTTATAACGAACAAATTTCAAGCCCCCGAGCGATTCGTTATACAGGAGTTCCACTGTAGTACAATAAAAGATTTTTTAAAAGTAACATTTTTCTTGTCATTAGCATGGATGCATCGTATCTTCTATAAAACATTTTAAATGGCCATCATTTTGTTTTCAAAGGTATATTTTTAATTGTAATTTTCAAAAAATTGATTTTTTGCTCATCCATATTTAGACAATGTGATACACAAGCAAATAAGTAGAGTTAGACAGCCCATTGACCATAAAGGCTATCTTTCCATAAGTTGAACCAAAAGTAGTATATCAATTGAAAGCATTTCAATTGAAAAATAAATAAAAAGTGACTTGCTACTTTTGGTTCGACCTAATAGAACAAATTTGACTATATGTATTATAACACAAGAAAAGATCTCATATATCCTTAGCAGTAACACAAAATGTTTTTTCTTACTTATCTATCTTACTTCTATCACAAACAGTATCAGTTTGTGACCCAAAAAACACCTAGGCATGTAACAAACCCAATGACAAAACATTCGTAAGAGTAACCCGCGATTTACAACGTCATCTATCACTTTTTGATTTATTTACCGTAAAAAAGTTTTTGGACAAGTTGCCCTTTGTAACAAAAGACTGTTTTTTCCGGTTTAAAGTGCAAAACTGTAACTGTACTTTTACGTGTCATGTTGTAACCCCTATTTACCATGTAGAATTTTAATTCAAATATGTATTTCAAAGCCCTCCGGAAGCGTTAATTTGACTGTATTTTAGTCTGGCTTTTTATTATTGTTGAAGACGTTATTGTAAAGTTTTTTGAATGCTGGTTATCTTACAATAGCGGTCATTTTACTATACTCCGTAGTGGTCACTTTACCTTAGTCTTTTTTACCGTATTATTTTTACTGTAACTAGTGATCGGCACGGAACGTCTATTGGCTTTCCAATAGTGACATATACCGTTTTGATCAGAAAAATTACTGCAACAGTAGAAAACGTAAATCGTAGTACCTTTTGACTAGCTCGACAAAAACAGCTTATATAATTAAAAAGATTTTACTACTGTAAACAGTAAACTATCACATGTTTCAAACAAAATACTCAAAATGACCCATACTAGTAGAGTTAAAGTGCAATCAATGTGTTCACGTTCCTTCCATGATAATCAAATGTATTTTTTTCTTGTGAGTCAATGAAGCGATAAGAAATTTTCACTCGTAAAAACACCAACCGACTTTTCAATTTTCCCCAATTTCTTTCAAAATTTACTAAACCGTTAATTTGTGCTGCTCATTGTGGGTTAACGAGTAATTCAAAGTTCTAATTGCGGTTTTATTTTATGGTCATTGGGTTAACAGCGTGCTCTTGTGTTTATCCGGGTTCAATTGTGTGTGTTTTATTGTGTTGTTATATTGTTTCAATTTTTTACATTTTTTATTGAAATTGTTAGATCATTAAGACGTTTTATTGATTTTTATTGTAAACTTGTGCGTGCAAACATAGTCATAAAGCTTTATGACGATCTATAACAAAATCAACACAAAATTCCAAATCAAACCTTCATCTCACGTTAAACAAACCTTTCTCAGCCTTTATGCCATGACATCGGCCCATTTCACCATGGATCACAGCGGAGCTACCTCAACTTACGCACCAATAACTAGTCTACCTCCCAACTCGCTAAGTCATTTTCAACAGACTAGTATGGCCTACAACGCCCAGACCTCGTCCCCACCACAACTGGCCAACAACAGAATGTTCAATCAAATGCATATTAACCTACCGCCTCTACAGACATACCAACAGAACTACAGTAGTAACACCCACGGGTTCATAACGCCGCAGACAACGCCGGCTAAGCGAGAGAAAAACAAGTTTGATTCGTTTCTGAGTCAGGCTAGCAACTCGGTTGTGAGAAGATTGGGATGGAAACAAGGTGAGACAATCTTTATAAAGCAACAGTACACAAAGCATACTAAAAATATTTTTTAAAAAATGATACTATATGACCATTCCTAAGGTCACCTAAAACTAATAAGCTATCCTTTCAGGGGACGAAGAAGAAAGCTGGTCAAAGAAAGCCATCGACAGTCTAGTCAAGAAGCTGCAGAAGCACAACAAAGAAGCACTCGAGATGCTGGACAAAGCTTTAAAAACTGAAGGCCGTGAGCCCAGTGACTGTGTCACAATCCCTCGTTCGCTGGACGGACGACTACAAATCTCTCATCGCAAAGCTTTACCTCACGTTATTTATTGTCGCGTTTACCGATGGCCGGACCTACAGTCGCATCATGAACTCAAGGCTATTGAGGTAGATACGTTACTATATTTGAGCAATTCTAGACGAAAAACCTTTTTATGGAAAATCATTTTGCTGCTATTTACGATTAAATACCATAATTTACACCGTTAACTCTTAGAAAAAGTACTAAATTTAGTAACAAAAATTTCTCATCTTATGTTTATTAACCGTTGAAATAACAGTACGACTTTAGACCTGCCGTTTCTGTTTTGAAAGTGGGCAAAAGGAGATATGCATCAACCCATATCACTACGAACGTGTGGATTCTGCCTGTGTTTTACCCCCTGTCCTAGTCCCCAGATACAGCGAACCACCACCAATCGACTCTCAAATGCAACCAGCTCAACAGTTTGGAGGTAAGCAATCTCTATATATACCTAATTTCCTCAACACAAACATGAAAACGCAACTTTATTCACCTTTAATGAAGGAGCATCTTCATTCACATTTTAACGCTAAACATGTTAAAATTATAAACTAAATTATTTTCAGCCCTCCCCTTTAATGTAGAAATGTCAAACAACAACAAAACCACCCTCCAAACCCTCCAACCCCATCAACCTGGTCAATCACAACACTACAGCCCACAAAACTCCCAAAATGGTCATAATGAAAACAACTTTGAACAGAATTATCAACAGAACATCATCAACCGGGTCCCGGTCCCTTTTACTCCATGTAAACATTGGGCTACAATCAGCTACTACGAATTGAACAACCGGGTTGGAGAACAGATACGGGTCTCTTCAAACACGGTGTATATTGATGGCTTTACTGACCCCAATACTCAAGATAAAATATCCCTGGGGTTGTTTTCTAACATCAACAGGTAAGACTATGTTGACATAGGAAACTAACACAACAATTTTTCTCTTTATACAAGACTTGTAAACTGAAAAACATAAAAATGTTACCTAAATATAAGAAAATTTATTTTTATACTAACTGTTACCTAAATATAAAGAAAAATATGTTTCTACTAATAATGCCACTTTCAGAAACACCACGATCGAGAACACCCGCAGACACATAGGCAAAGGAGTAAAGCTAACATACGTCCCATACCAAGGTACCTTGTATGCAGAATGTTTGAGCGAAAGTGCTGTATTCATACAGTCGAGGAACTGCAACTACATCAACAACTTTCACCCAACAACAGTCGTAAAGATAACCAACGGTTACTCCTTAAAGATCTTTGACACTGGGAAGTTTGGAGAGGTTAGTTATTGCTAGGATAATATTCTTTCAAGTTGTAATTATTTCAAATTTACAAGTCGAAAGTCAAATTTATATTCACACGTTTTTGTACTACGCATTAATCCCGTATTTTACTCAAAAACAATAATTACAGCTCCTAAACCAATGCGTGAACATGGGCTTTAACAGTAGCTATGAGCTCACAAAAATGACATTGATCAGAATGTCATTTGTAAAAGGATGGGGAGCTGAATACCAACGTCAAGATGTTACTTCAACTCCTTGTTGGATCGAGATACATCTTCATGCACCCTTAATCGTAAGCTTATTCTAAGTTGTCAAATAAAAAAATCTGATTATAATCTTTTTCTTATTTTACATAACCAACAAATATCAAATATTGTCCTAAAACCTCGTTATTTCTCTTTAATTTTACCACAATGTCGATCAAAGTTATCAAAACCCATAATCCCCTTCGTATTATCAAATGTCAATTAGTAATATATCTTGTTTTAGTGGTTAGATCGAGCTCTGGCCAAGCTCGGACCCTCACCCGACCCTATCTCTTCAATAAGCTGAGCATATTGGTACATAAACAACATATTTGAATAACCATCAACTTCAACATGACATTGAACCGTTGCAATTTCACCATGGCATTTAAAACCAACAATAACTAAACATAGTTTAGTCTAAACTACTCTGTGATATAAATAAACTTTGACGTTCTTACAACTTATAAATAAATTTTTATGTTCTACACTATGATACACGAATTTCTGATGTTCAACACCTTGAGTTAGCGTTAAAATACTTCAAAGATCAAGTTCACATAAGTTTTCCTACGTTTAACGTCTAAAACGACATCAAAACATTATCCTTTCCCTCCACACCATTCATAACCAAAAAAGCGACAATCACGCATAACACAGTTAAAAGACCTTTATGTTGCACCACATATACCCGCAAAACATCGCAAAAATTACACTTACTTTCGTTGTCTTTTTGCTTGACTATGATCATAAGGGTCGGCCCTTGTTCTGTGTGGCTGTTTCAACGATTTATCGTACTCTGCTCGATTTACTGCGTTCCCTAGTATCTCGTAAGATGATGTTACCTAAAATTATAATAAATATGAATCTATTTCAAAATAAATTTAAAGTAAGAAACCTCAAAACAAATATCTACCTGTTGAAATAGTTCGTCTGGGTTAGTGTCAAAATCGTATTTCAGGGACACTTCATAGAAGGCAGACTTTATTTCTGCTGCAGTTGCTGTAGGCTTCACTCCAAGAACTTAATGATGATTAACTGGTTTTGTAGACAATCTTCTGATGATATTGTTACCAAAAGAAGAAAAAGTGCATCTTTGGAGCATAATACCACGGTTGTTTTGAAGCAAGGGAAATGCGTCCTTAATTCTGTCCTTTTTTTGAGACCGGGACGCAGGCTGCGGAATTTTTTCATTTTGTTGTCTAGACCTAGTTGGGTTTAAAGAGTTGTAACTCCGAACTGGGTATTTTTTAATAAAATTTGCTTTTTGACAAATAACGATTTGAATTTGAGCTTTTTGAAAATAATCACACTTATTTATAAGTTTTTGTTTTAGCAATTATATGTTGTAGTAAGCAGCTTGAACCTACAATATTGAATATAAAGTTTTATATTACAAACACTGTAATGGGATTAGTGTATATATTAAGCTGCGTTGTTCATCGTCAATTTAAGCCCAAAAACATATCCATAGGCCCAGTTTCAGCTAAGATATTACTCATAAAACCTTAAATATACAGTAATTTGACACTTAAATTGTAATTTCTCAAATCTAGTCAGTCAACAAGAAAATCGCTTCAGAGGTTTACAAGTAAAGGGTTTTAGCTCTTACATCTGAAAAAATGAGCAACATCTGATGCTCAAAAATGTCGAATGTCTGGGCCGATATTACGCATGGTACGTAATCTAAACTTATGGTCTTGAGATTTTGATATATTTAAAACCATGATACGCAAATATAGCTAACTGTGAGATAGAAAACAATTATAAAAAGTAGCTCAACTACTAAATAGGTAGTTCTAGTTACAGAATTTAGACTGTATTATCTTACACATGTTATACATGGTCATGTTCAACATGGGTATTTTAAACTAGGTAATCGCTTCTAACTGTGAATTAAATTTGATATTTAGCTCATAGTAATAGTATAGAAACATTTTTTACTGTGTGACAATTTACATTGGCTTCAGAATCAAGCATCTAAATTGTTATAGGTACCCCCACTGACTTCAACTGCCAGTAGCTTCTCAATTTAGAAAAAATAAGACAACAGGCAATGTTTAATACAATTACTAAGCTAATATCAACATATTAAAACGCAATTAGTACCTGTATTATTGTTCTCTATATAGTGTGTTGACGATTTTTGTCAAAATTTACTGCTACTGTACACAGCTTCAAATACTACAGTAAGAACATAGAATGTGTGATAGTGTATTTTTCTTAATAATGTTATACAAACTGTAAAATGTTTTTGGGAGTCTAAAATAACTAGTTTAAGCATTATATAATTTATAATATAAACAATTATTTCAAAAAATCAATTTATAACTTGGCTGAATTTTGATAAACAATGGTCAACATGCCATCTAGAGGGTGGTACACATACTGACTTTTATTTAATATGTTGATATTAGTCTAGTAGTTGTGTTAAACATTCCTTTTTGTGTTATTTTTTCTAAATTGAGAAGCTACTGGTAGTTGAAGTCAGTGGGGGCACCTATGACAATTTAGATGCTTGATTCTGAAGCCACTGTAATTTGTCACACAGTAAAAAACGTTTCTACACTATTATTATGAGCTAAATATCAAATTTAATTCACAGTTAGAAGTGATTATCAAGTTTAAAATACCCATGTTGATGTACATGACTATATTGACGTTGAACTCCAAAATCCTATAAAAGAGTTAAATACTTTAGCTAAACGTAATAAATGTGCTAACACAAATTTACGAGTTTTTAACTACAGTCACTTGTAAATTACATGCGTGGCCTAGAAGTTTTGTTCACTTTTTGAACGCCAAAAATCGTTTGGTGTACCTAAAAATTTTTTAGAAGTTTATATTTTTTTCATATTACAAGCATACCATTAATTCAGGTCTAGATGCCGTATGCCAAATTTTAGCTCAATGGGATAAGACACTTTCAAGTTATAGGGTGATAGATTATTTTGTCAAACATTATATTAACCTTATTATTTGAAGCTAGAAAACGCAAAAAAAACCTATTACAAATAAAATTATTTGAAAATGGTGCTTTTTACTAAACATTTGAACTATTAATGAGTGTAATCCCTTTTAATTACTAAGCGCACACCTTCAAATAATACAGAAATTTTCTCGTATAATATCTACCGCGGGCTGCAGCGAATTTTTCGGAAATTTGGAAAAGGCCAAAATAAAGGACGTAAAAAAACAACCGTGAATACATTTAACTCACAGAGTTTTTAGAAAATCCGTCAAAAATATTTTAAAAATTTATTTTTATTTGCAGCGTGCGCCCGCAGGTTTTGCTGGCTGCAAGAGACATTTTATTTGTTTATGTTTTCAGTTGTTTTACTCACATAAGAAGTTTATTGGCAAAAAAACATAGCAAATTAAGTTTTGAATAATATTTTATTTGTAGAAGTTATATTATGGTTTTTTTTGGTAGAGAAGTTATAGCACAGTAAACAAAGATTGAAGAATAAAGAGTTAACTTCTAACTTTTTACGAAGACCCGAGGAGAACAATAAATTGAAAAAAATATCAAGATGATAATAACAAACAACAACGAAACTGTAAAGTTTAAGCCCATGCTAATTCATCCGATTTTATTATATCATGATACACTAAATTATAAGAAAAGAAAAACTAATTACAGGATAAGAGAAACAATTTGCTAAAAAATTAAGTACTTTTTTTAAACTATGCTTAAAATTAACATTGAAACCTAAATTATTCAGAAACAATCATTGATTCTCCAAAGTAAGGTTACTTTTCGTAACTCATTGGAATTCGAAACTGAATGTCGCGGCTTTCACCTCCCGCTAACGTTAAAAACATTGAGGCACACGCTCGGGATCCGAAATCATGGGTTATCTAAAATAAATATGTATTACCAAAATCTGTACTTTATAAATAATGTAATATAACGTAATACAGATCAACTGAATAACAAAGTTCGAATTCGAAACTAACATAAACTTACTTTGTTATAAATATCTAACCCATTCTGAAGTTGTCGTCCCAAAGGCCTTTGACATTCAGCAGGCCACATCATTCCTCTATGTTCATATACCGATCGATCCCTCATTAAAACATCAGCCGATATCTTGTAGCATAGCTGTATTAGATGTGCCACAAATTGGGGATTGGGATATTGTGCCAAAGCTAACATCAACTGTTGATAGTTCTCCGGCCTCATAAACTCTATCAAAACTTGTTCATGGAAGGGCTGCTGAGGGAAGTGACTTTGGTTTAGATGATGAAAGTCTTCGACCAAAATGCTGGCTTCTGATTCGGTTAGAGATGTGAAGGCAGTCGGATCAGCTCCTCGTCTCCTTCCGGCTGGAATATACATTCCAAACTGAGCCAGCTGGTTTTTGAATATCTTGCTTCCGTCCTTGTTTTTAGCTCTGAATGTAAATAAAAGTAAGATAAAGATATTAATTAGACAAACGAAAAAAGGAATTTAAGTTTCAAAAACCAAAAATTTAAAAAAATCTCCCCCTTTTCTTTAATTTAAAAACTTACTTTCTCAAATAACCTCCAGCAAATGACAAGTTCATTTCCTCCGGCTTTTGAAATCTTCTTTTCATCTCAGCTACTGTTACCATATGTTTCAGATTCGAATTCAACAATCCCAATCTTCCACCAGCTTCGTCAAACTTGATCAATTGATCTCCAGGTTTGATTTCGATTCCTTGAGGTTTGTCAGCGTCGTCTTCTGAATTCGATGTAGATTGTTGAAGATTTTGTGGATTTAATAAATTTTGAATTGAATTTGAGCTGTTTGAGCTCTTCGAAGTGTTGTATCCAGAATCTCCTCTACTGTTGTTAGATGTACCTGGCATAACACTACTCGAACTAGACAAGTTATTACTAGATGTACTAGACATCATGTTACTTGAACTCGACATGCCATTATAAGCTGACAACATGCTATTGTAACTACTGGAAATACTATTATTAGTTGTGTTGACCATGTTGTAGTCGTAGTTCATCAACTGTGGCATCATTTGTTGTTGGTAATGTTTATAATCGCCTTTGGGAGTACTTTGAGAGGCCTAAAACATTATATTTGAATACTGTGATAACAATAATATAATGATGTATGATAATAAAAATTATCATAACACAAAAAATTTTTTATTAGTCTACTATGCTCTGCTTTTTTCAAAGTTTCTGTCGGAAATTATTATTAATTTTGTCAAAATTCAAACAAAAACTTACAAAGAGAAAGCTTGGATCGTAGCCAGCGGACGGTGGGTTACCAAAATCTGACATATTCATACTCCAATTCTGATTATTGTAACTGTTTGTCGAGTATTGTGATGTGTTTCCAACGTCATTCAAAAGCTGTAATCAAAAAGTTTATGTAAATTATTAGACACGGTCTACTACGTACAAAATAATTTCTGTATAACCAATTTCTCGGTAATTTGAAATTTTTTCTTTATAAATACGTTCAACTTTTTTCAATAATTTTTGAACTCCATATTCACAACAAAAAAAACTTACATTGAAAGCAGTAATTTTAGGTTTTACATCCTCATCGTCGTCGTTCCTCGCCTTTCGTTTTCGATTCGTTGGAGTCTCTTTACTGGCGTTCTCATTGTTGTAGTATGATTCGACGTTCTGCTGAGTTGGATCACTCATATTGGCCTAGAATTTGGAAATATAAACATTATATAAATTTCTTTTACATGGAAAATTAAGTTTGGCACGGTAAAATCACGGACATTAATATTAAACTTTTAAATTAAATTACACATTTAAAATTTTTTTTAAAATTTTGTTTCGTTTTAAAAAATTGTCGTTTTTTCAAAAAAAAAATCAAAAAAATGTTACAAGACCAACCATTACTTGCTGCGAAAGCCCAGACTGATATTCTGAGGACATTTCTCTATCAGCTATATTCTCCATCTTATGTCGAAGCAGCTTCTCCGCCCCACCATCAAAGTTGAGGTTAGTAGAAGTACCTAAAGGAGACTCCAAATTCAAATCTTAGCGTTAGTAAGATTTCCGCGAGTCGAGGTAAAAGTAAACTGTAATTTATGTGCTTTTTTAAGGGTGTATGTTGTGCAACATATAGCCTTTTAACTTTATTACGTTTGATTGCCATTTTTAATGTTGTGAATCGTAAAAATTAAGCTTTGCTTAACATCTGAAACTTCAAATCTTAACGTCTGAAACTTCAAATCTTAACGTCTGAAACTTCAAATCTTAACGTCTGAAACTTCAAAGCTTGGAATTAGGCTACGTAGTTGCAGCTGGAGCGGAAATTAAGAAAAAAACACAAAATCGGAGCTGGAGCCGATGCCAGAAATTTTAAATTTGAAAACTCTAGTTGTAGATCGTGAAAGAAAGTAAAATTGTGTTATATTGAAACTGTGAAACTAAAATGAAGTGTTAAACATAAAAAAGATTCAGAAAAACAAAGTAATTCTTAAAATACAAAAAAACTCAAATCTGCTTGTACGATCACCCCTTACCTTCCTTAATCTTTAAAACGTTAGAAAGTCTACCTTAAACGCAAAAAAACCGTTAACTTTAAAAATACCACAAAATTTGACCAAAATTCTCGGTAAATAATTTTCTATAAAAAAAATAAAATGTGGGCGGACCGCAACTATTGATGAACGAAGTGTCAAAAAATTATAAATAATTTTCTCTGTTGTTTTAGATTGTAGTTAGGCATGAGGAACTGCCCAGGCCAGTTGTGACCCAAATTTAGATCATACCGGACCTGAACAAACTTTATATCGAGCTGGGCCTGAAAATTGGGCCCGGCCCGTTCCTCAAGCCTAATTGTGGTTTTTATTGTGGTTTAAGGGAGATTGTGCGGGTTTTTCTTGGTTAAGTAGTTTATTTGTTTTAGTTTTTATTTTAGATAATAAAATGAGGAATATAAAAGCTTCATAGGCGAACTTTCAGGTAGAAACAAGGGAAGCGGCTAAAGCAAAAGAAATGGAGGACGCTGGTAAAATTGTAAGTTATTTCTAATATTTCTGACATTCTCCACGCGACATTCGATAGAAATAATCAAGGTTTTTGATTCCATTGATTATACATTTTGTAAGCTTTAATTCTACATGTAAAAGCTACTTTTAACTGCAAATTATGCATAAAACCGCATTTTAGGTAACAATTTTAAGATTTGGTTTTGTATCTTGGTGTACTATTATTTTTATACATGATATGTTAATATAAACTAGTATTAACTAACTTGAAACTTTTACAGACAACTTTCACTGTGGTAACATTGTCCTATCAACAAATGGATTAATAATCCTTATGGGCTACGAATTCGCTCTAACCGGCCATTCTATTAGTGACACAGAAGCCTTGAAACGTTCCAAAGCTAAAACCGTGCAAGAAATGCTGATCTTCTATCTTGGTGCTACGATATATGAGTTTCTGACCGGATCCATTACCGTACCATATCTAGAAGACATGGACGAGTTTTATGAATCGAGTAATTTTGGCATTGCTTTTTGGACTTGGGGCTCAAATGCCAGCAACCGATCAGCTTTTGTCACTGCCATTGTTTAGAGATTGTGTGACAATTCTGGATGGACTGACTTTTCAGATTTCAAAACATGTTCTGAGTTACTTCAAGGTGATGTGTGCAAGGATAGAAAGGAGGTTGGAAGAGGAAAGGAGTGAGGTAAGAGAAATTATAATATATAATTTGAGGTATACATAAAGTAGAATAATGTTATATATTATGAACTACAATATTAGGAATAGAGTTATCAAAATACTAGTTTGTTATTTATTCTTTTATTACGTTTAGTTACTCAGTTTTCTTGGCATTGTAGCTATTTACTCGTTTTTTGTGTACTCCGAGCATTACAAATGGCACAAACAGTTGCTTGAACATCCAGAAGCTAATCAGCGTGCCGAAAGCAATCTAAAACAGGTCACAGTAATGTAAAGCATGTAGTTGTAAGTAGAAATTTGTAGTGGTTAGTAGGAATAGGGCATAGTATTGTAAAATACGTAGTATTTACCTGCATATCATGGAAGAAGCATCCAGTCGACAGTCTGAATCGACCGATAATGTTAACAGCGTATCTGGCATAAGTCTGTGGGTCGATAACCCAAATGTCATTGGCTTCTTCCTTTTCGTAAAACGCGATTTTCGTAGCCACCAACAATGGAATCAAGCATTGAATCTTGACATTTGTGTGGCCAAATTCATCGGCCAAAGTGTCCGAGTAAAAACTAATGGCAGCCTTTGACGCTGGGTATGTTGACATATAGGGAAGAGGTCTCCAGCCCTGAAAATTGGTGATGTAAATTATTATTTTTTAAATGGAATTGATAATAAAAATAATAGATTCATTTGATAATACTACAGTAGTAATGGATTTAATAACCTTATTAGTCAAAAAGCACGCAGAAAAACCTAACCCTAATGAAGTCAAAGCGAAATCTACGTACTTTTTGACCAACTTCAAAAATGTTTGGGAAAAGTCAAAAAAGTTCAATTCTACAATAGACCGCTATGGCAAAATGTCTTTTTTTGATTTTTAAAATCGCAACAGAAAAATTACAGTCATAGAAGCAATGTTGACGATTATGCCTTGATCTCTTTTCAACATTCCAGGTAGAATCAGCTCTGTCATCCTCAAATTGGACATCAAGTTCACTTTCATAATTTGAGTTGGGGAGCCGGCTGGCAATTCCAAAAAGTTTCCAACTTCTGCTGGACCAATGCCGGCACAGTTAACTGAATTTTCATTTTTTGCAATTTTTCGGAATTTTTTAAAAATAAATCAAAAGTGGGCCTTTTTTGACTGACCATTTTTACAAATATTTTGACTTTTAAAAACAATTTTTTAATTTTTTTTCAATTTTAAAAACCATTTTTTAAAAATATTTTTATTTTTCAAAAACTTACTCAGGATTCCAACATCTAGGGTCTTAAGTTCTGCAGGCAATTTGTCCAAATCGTCTTTTTCAAAGTCGAAAATGGCAGTTTTGATTTCGCATCCGTATGATTCTTCTGAAATTCGTAACTGTATTTAGGTCACTAGTATTAAAGTTTATAAATTTTGAATTGAATTTTAGTGACAATTTTTTTAATTTAAAAAACTTCCAGGTTAGATTTTATAATATTTTTCTTTCTAAACTTAAAAATCCAAATAAATTATAACTTACTGAGTTCATTTACAGTGTTCTCCAACTTTTTGGGGTTCCTGGCGATCAAATAGTATTTTCTGATTCCTCTGGTCTGACAAAGTTCCTCAATATAAGCACGGCCGATTCCATCTGTGCAGCCAGTTACTACTGAAAACAGACCTTATAAGACTTGTTCATAGTTTCATTTTGATTTTTAAGGCGATTTTAAAGTCGTTATACTAAACTTCTGATAGTGTTGGCAGTACTTTACAGGCTTTTTTTTGTTTCATTATTACAATATATAGTGCAAACGGCAATACTTTTTTGGTTTTTTTATTTTTTTAAATTTCAGGTAAAAAAGTGACAAATCATAACAAAAAATTCAAAAAATCTCATGCTTGTACTGTTTTGGTTGTCATAAAAGGTTCGAGATACGATCTAAAGTTGAGATCAAAAGTTGTGATAAGATCTTACCAGTCCATTTGTCTTTATAACTAGTCAAATCAACTGGCGTAGCAACAAAATGTCCATATACACTATAGGCAACAATGTAGAGGAACTTGAGTAAACGGAATGTAAAGTAAGATATCACCAAGTGATAACTTATACTCCACAAACAGTCGAACATCTAAACCTTACATGATTAAACAGGGTAGTGAGCTTTGGAAAATTAAAAGTAAAATACGAGTGATTGGCGATATTTTAGTAAATGTTGGGTGGAGAATAATATGTAAAACAATTTGGCAGCGTTAGGGTTTAAATTTTGAAAAATTACAAAAAATAAGATAAAAACTTAAAAATTCAGAAAAAAAAGCAATTTCGAAAAATAATAAAAATGAAAAGGTATGCGCAAGGCTGTTTTTGTTGTTTTACCGGGCATTTTCCCTCTTCCGTAACAATTTCCTCTTTTATGTTCGTACTTAAGTGCCGAAGAGGCGGCGACCCGTAAACTTGGAAATGTTTTCTACAGGGTTTTTAAGATACAAGGCTATAAAACTGTCACCTTTTTTTGGGCTTTTACCTGGTAATTACTTTTTCTTACATAGTAAAAAAAATTTTAAACAAATTACAAGAGGTTTTTCTCCTGGCCGAAATGTGCCTGTCGGGTCTCTTAACATTTGCTCCGGGCGGAGCCGATCTTCAGGTCCAGTCTAGGCTACTTTCCAGCCCTGACTAACTGAAAGACACTCCAGCAAAATGAAAAAACTAACGTTCACTCGGCTCCTATGTGGATGATTTTAAAATTCAAAATAGCCCTACAATTAATTGCAAAGAGTAAAAATATCCCTGGTGACACTACATTCATGACCTCATTCCAATCCCCTGAATTCTACAGGCTTTCCTGCAGACCGTCCGAATTGCACTTAATTTAAGACAACCCCAATTCGTACCGATCGCAACGACGTTTTTTTTTGTTTTTGCGACAAATCTCGCCTCATCAACGTCTCGCAATCTTTTCCGTTCGTTTTTATGACACACGATCGGTCAAGGTCGTCGACCAACCAAAACAAAAGCCCTCTGATTCCAATCTTCTGCGTATTATTAATCACTACACCGACCGACTACAGTTTCGTACTGTTAGAAAACTTTGTACTTTGAAAAGAAATGCGGAGATTTGTTGAAGTTGCAGGAGCAACAGTGTAGGCTTATGAAGTCATGTTTCAATTAGGGTTTATGTATTATAACTGACTTTAAAATTTTAAAACTGATAAAAGCAACTTATAAAATTTTAAATCAAGTGAAATTTTCAAAGGAACTTAATTATAATTGTAAGTACGCTGTAGATTTTATAAACGTTTTAAAAAGTACGTCCACCACGAAAACAACAAACCGCTAAATTTTGTTGGCATTCCGCATCAAAAAATAAATAAATATTTTTATCAAAATTTATTGAAAGAGCAGCAACAAATAACAGACGAATACTTGTAAATAAGATGAGTTTATACGTTTACCCATCGTTTGTTGGTTTACCATCGATGGATTCGAAATGTTTGCAGTTTTTGGTATGTTTTTGTCTACTTTTATATTATTATTTTGATGTTTAGGCTGCTGCAAAGTTTTGTGCGGCCGAAATAACAGTTCATACGACTACGGTTCCTTTCAACAGTCCAACAGGTTAGTTGATGTGTGTAAACAAAATATATTGTGACGTTAAACAGCTATATTATTATTACATGGTATGTCGTGTTTTTTTAATAATTTTAACTTTTTTAATTTAAAAAGTGCTTATGTTGTTACTGTTTACAATTTTGTTTAAATTGCTTTTAAGTTTTACAATTTTAGGCACGTTACCGGGCTTTGTGACTGAAGATGGTGTACAGATTACAGAGTTTGAAGACTTTGTTACCTATTTGAGGAGTCAACACCAAGCAATTCAGTTGGATTTTGAATTGGATAACGAACAGAAGAGCCAGTTTGATTCCTACAAGGCTTTGTTGAACATTCAATTTGTTCCAACTTTGGTAAGGCTTTATATTTATTGATTTTGTAATTTTGTGTATAAATATGAGATTTGAGGGTTTTTTTAGTCTACAATTCGAAAGTTGGCGGTTATAAGCTTCTAATTGCTGCTAGAAAAAGTAAATTTTTAGGAAAACGTCTTTTTCTTGGACGAATTTAACTATTCTGCTTTGATGATTAACTGGTACTCAAACTATGTCACGTTCCCGATGAATATCTACTATTTGAACAAGAGGAAGAACTTAGCCACAAAGATTGTAAATTCTTCTGGAAGGTCAAATACAAATTTGTTAACTGATGGTATTAATGTAAGGAAATTTTCTCAATATAAATAGTATCTTTATAAAAAGCGTCAGAAATCATAATATTATTTACTTTGTAAGCTCGAAACGTGTTTTAAAGGATGGTGTGCTATATACGCTTAAAGTTTAGGTATTAAACATGTTATCGTCTAAACTAGGAGAATCAAAATACTTTTTTGGGACGAAACCTTCATCCTTCGACGCTTTGATCTATGGATATTTGGCGCCTTTACACAAGTTACCACTAGCAAACACTGATCTACAATTACATTTGTCAGCTCTACCTAACTTGACATTGTTTGTTGAAACTATCACTAGTATTTACCTACCGCTGTCTATTGATCAGGTAATTTTTGCGGTATTTTTTGGGTTTTGGGTATCTAAATTGAGTTATAAAAATGCCTTAAAATTTGCATAATACTTTCTAACGTTTTTTAAAGCTCTACCACTTTTAGACGGATTATAAACCTTTTTTTGCCTATGTTATTAATATAACTTATTTTAATAACGTAATAAACAATTCAGATCTCCTACCAACTACAACAACAAACCAAGTGGATGGCATATACGGATAAAGAACGGAAGAGGCTTCAGAATCAGCGAGCAGCTCAGCAGTTGAGGAAGTTGGAGAGGGAAAAGGCTGAGAAAACCACAAATAATAAGGTGATATTGTTTGCTGTTGTCAGTCTTACTGCGTCTCTCTTATTCGCTCTTCATACAGGGATAATCAGAGTACAATCAGAGCAAAAGCATACGATTAGAAAGAAGAGGTAGGTTTACTAGTTGAATGTAGATTTCAAAAAATAGTTTTAGCAAATTTTTATTATTTTAGCCAAGCTTTTTGATCAATTTAGTCTTCAATTAGGTCTATTTCTAGTTAAAATTGTTCTTTAAAGATCTGAAATTAAGGTTTTTTGTTGTTTTCGTTATGAATTCTATGTAAAAAATTAGGAATATTTTGGTATTTTAAAAAGATCTTTCAATAAAAGGTAACCATTGGGTTTAATATATTTATTTAATGGTTTGAAAATCCAATATCATGATCAATATATTACACTTGATTAATACAACAAATAATACAAAGGTTTAAAGAGTAATTAAAAGTAGTGTAAAAAATACAATAATAACCGTATCTCCTTGATTAAAAACAATTATAATTGCTTTTGTTATTCAAAAACTGATATTTTATCAAAAAACGATATTGCATCTAAAAACAGATATTTACAACAATTTTTGAGTTCAAAATCCATTTTGATACCCTCCATAAACCATGCCATTCTGACCACTACCTAACGTACCATAAGGGCTGACATGCTGTAGGTTTGATTCTATTGGAGGGTACTTGACATCCGTCATCATACTCAAACTTTGCAATTCTGTTGAGCCGAGCATTGAGAACTGATTGGGCGTTTCAAAATATTCACCTTCCGAGCTAGAAGATGTGTTTAGAGTTGGTTTTGATTGTTGAGAGATCATCAGTATTCGAGGTGGGATATTGTAGAGATTGGCAATCATGTTGGCGGTTGTTTGAGATAAGCCGGATGATAAGACTTTGGCACATTCTAGAGGAGAGGGCTCGCGGTTTTGTTGAAGAATTATGTTGAGGAGGGTGATGTAGTTTCTGAAAATGCAATGGTTAAAAATTTTTAAATGTTATCAAATTTAGGTTTTTTAAATTGTTGCGTGTAAGTATTTGAACAAGTATATATTTCGTAAATTTGAAATTTTAAAAATTTAAATCTTTTTTATAAATTTTGATCTTTACACCCACTGACCCCAAAACAATAAAAATAGCGAACGAATCCATAACAAAATAAAACCCATGCCAATAGAAAACAAATTCACGCCAATACTCCCATTGACCGATTAATCTATTGTCCGAGAATAAATCTCGAGCATTAATTATTGAACAACGTGTAATCAACAGATCAAGCGAGGACAGTCTATCGAGACATGTCTATTATAATATAGACTGTCTAGTGGCTGTTCGGGGACAAGAGATTGGGACATGGTTCTCTATTGTAGTGCGGGTTAGTGAGGTGAGAATTGGCGCAATAATTATGCGGTTTTAATCTCGAAATTCTTCAAGTGCTTATTAAAAGTTAGGCATGCAAATTAGGGTAGAACAGAGGGGAAAAGAGAGTTTATAGAGAGAAGAGAATGTGAGAGAGACAGACAGTTTAAAGTATGAGAGATACAGTCAGTTCAAAGACTTATAAGCTAAAAAAGCTTAATATTTGTATGTTACAGTAGCCAAAATCTTATATTGTTGTAGCACCTAATCCCCGTAATATTTGCTCAAGCAATAATCGTAATATACAAAAATTTGTTGGACAAACAGAGATAGGTGGGATCACCTTTTACAACATAAACATGGTCATTCGATCCCGGTTAAACGGTTTGGGTCATATTTCGATCAAGCATAAGTGGTTTCCGGACAAGAATCTACAGAATTAAGTGGATCGACATTGACATAGATACATAGCACTGTAAATAAGCAAACAAGAGCTAGGATAGCATAGGGATTATATTATAATACAAAATACTACTGTAAATCATGCAATATAGAGCCATCCATGATTTACAGTAATGGTTTGTGTTTTGATAGTAGTCTATAGTGCTTGATAGTGGACAGCGGTACTATTAGGTTGTTCTACTAATTATGTGCCCCCAAGCAAATTTGCGGGGTAACGGGCACAGAATTATTTGAAAGACTTAGTACTACATAAGCGTTTAGTATGATTAATGTAAAACTTGTACTATCAGGGTACTATTGTGTATCAAATATGAGAGCTAAGGTTAGAGTTACAAGTATAGAAGAAAGCACATTTTGGTATGAAGGTGTAAAGAAGAAATGGCGTTATTATGCCAGTCTACGGTATTCATACGAGCTTATATTATTCATACGAATCTAAATTGAGCATGACAGTAATGATGAGTGGGTTTAATTGCTTGAATTTTAAATTATTAAACCCATTTTAAAAATCTGGGCACGTACTCAATTAGTACTCACCAGCAAGTAATAACTTCATACTGACCTAAAGGTACTAATCTTTTCAGTACTCGGACTTACAAGCACTAGTACTATAAGTACTGAAAGTCTACTCCTACTAATTTTTGGTAATTTTACCCTTAATCTGCGAATAAAAACAATCGAACGGCTCTTGAACCGGTCCTTGGCCTTCGTGTCCTCTTGTTAAACGTTCATGGCCAAGCATAGAAATGGCACTTGATTATACGCATGCTTAATGACACTCGAATTCAAGAACCGGATCAAGAGGTGGATTATTGCACAAGAGACTTTAGGTATCCAGGACAATGTCTACTCTGGGCTTTCAGGATGGTTAATATAATTGAGAGAGCAGTTTTGTATAGATAAGGGGATTAGGCTTGCTATAGTAGGTTTAAGGGGGTAGTAAGGTATTTATAAAAGGCTTTACAATGAATATATAAGGTTGGGTTATAAAAGGTAAACATGGAAAAATAATTACAGGCTAGTCATATTCTTAACTAGTTATGACCGTTCACTTCCCAAGAAATGAAATTTGATGATTGTTAGGCCAAACAACGATGATTGTAGGCCAAACAACGATTATAATTAGCCGAGATTCGATGCTGCGTTAGGTAACCGAAGCCAACGATGACAAATTGGCACAACAATTGCGCAACTCACTTTGACAAGATTCTATTAACTATAATCACAAGGCATACTGTATAAAGTATTTTAACCGGTGTTAAAAAGGTAGAGTAAACGGTACTGTATTTTTTCTCCTTTCGAAGATATAAGTTTGCAACTTTAGTGAGACAAGTATTGGTAAAGATAAGGTTTAATCAAGGGTTTTCATAAAGAGAATACTGTAAGAGCCTAACCTTAAAACCAAAGTAAGAGCTCTCAATTACCCCAAAGATAACTTACGTTGCCAGTCTCAAAGTTTCGATCTTGGACAACTTTTGTTGTGTCGAAATCAATGGCATTCGTTCTCTGAGCACGTCCATGGCATTGTTTAGACCGTGCATGCGATTTCTTTCACGATCGTTGGCTTTCTTTCTTCTGATGACTTTCTTGGGTAGACCTTCTAATCCACAAGATGAAGATACTGAGGATGAGGAGGGTGAGGTCGTTGGTCGGGTCATTTTTGGTGTAGTTGTTTGGAAAGCAGTGTGTAGAGTTCACTGAAAATCATTTTTATGCTTGGAAGGTAGATTGAAACATAACGTTAGGTAATAGTTTGATACATTCAGAGATAGGGTAGGGTTGGGTTGGGTAGGATAGGGTAGGGTAGGGTAGGGTAGGGTAGGGTAGGGTAGGGTAGGGTAGGGTAGGGTAGAGTATGATATGGCAAAGTAGGATAAGGTACGATAAGTTAGGGTAGAGTAACGTGTTGCAGAGATAAATTCGCGATAAAAAACGAAAAATTGTAAAATATAAAAACTTAAAATGCCGTTTTAAAAAAATGGAAACGAAAAAAAAAATAAAAATCTTTTTGTAAAATACGATGAGCTTTTCCATAACTAACATTGAACTTGTTTTCCTCAAACCCAAATCTGATCGGACTGACCGAAACCCGGCCAACCCTCCATGTTCCCTGTTCTTGGGATGCACTCGGGGATTGGCGACTCGCTTTTGTCACACGAATTTAAGTCCCCGAAAAAATTAACGGTTACAAAAGTGCCACGCCTCTTGTATTTTGATTTGCGGCTTTTGTTGGGGAGAATACTGTAGTTGTTAATAATATACGGTGAATGCGTTTTGTAAAATACGCTTGATAATAAGTTGTTGGAGTTACTGTTTTATGAATTCTTGAAAGTGGCAGGAGGAAGTATAATACTAGGTTTGTAATGTTAGTTTAATTTATTCAAATTTATAAAAACAACATATGGCTATGATGAGGAGGGTTTGTTTAAGATATAAAAGAGTAGTTGTCGTAGTAAGGAGAGGTCTATAGGGAAATTGTTAAGGGACAGAGTATGACAAGTTATGAGCGTTTGTGGGTATGAGAACATAAAATTAGATAACATTTTAAAAGCAGGTAACAGCTCTTAAAATACCCTACGTATTAGAAGAATGTAGAGTAGGCAAGGGTAGGGTAATGTCGCAGGGTTGAGCAGAGTACTGTTAATGTAGGGTAGGGTTGGGTAGGGTAGAGCAAGCTAGGATAGTGTAGGACATGGCAGATCAAGACAAAGTAGAACAGGATAGGACAGGATAGGCTAGGGCGGGTATGAAGTTTTCCTGTTCGCATGGTGAAATTGTGGCCATGCGGGAGATTTGGCCGTAATCCATGTGATTCTCTGTTATATTACAGATTCTTTTATGATTTCGTTGCATCATAAAGCAAATCAAAGATGTCGTTCCCTCTTTTTAACTGGATTAAACTCGTTTAATTACAGATTACGAGTGTAATATAAAGGCTGATGCAATGTTGCATTATAGGGTTAATAACTTTCATTTTGTAAGCTGTAATAGTACTGTAGTTTAAGTTAGCTATAGAGCGGCATGTATTTTAAAATACAGTAAGTTAGATTTTTTATTAGGTGATATGTTTTGTTTTTAAAAAAAATATTACCTAAAATTAAGTTGTTAAAGTCGACTTCATCTATGATTGGCACTTTTAATTAAAAAAGTCAAAACAGTCATTTGTGTGTTTGTCTAAGCGCATCTGCTTGACACTCTTGACCTCACCGAATCCCATTAAAATTTTACCGCAACAGGTACAAAGCGAGATGTAAAGCCGTTGAGAAAGCATGTTCCGTTTATAGACGGTCCATCCACCTTCTTTGTCTCGACTTGATCCGATTATTCTTCGAGGAAGAAGATCAAACGAAAGCTACCGCGTAGGGGCGAGAATAATGCGGGCTAATGAAGGTTTGGCAAGGCTGATGAGTTATTGGGTATGAAGAAGATGGCAATTTTAATGGTTTTCAGTGAGGTGTAAAGGTGTCTTTGTAAATTTGTAAAAATATGACTTTTCATAATAAAGAGGATAAAAACTGTTGTAAACTACTGTCCTCCGTCTTCATAACAAAACATTACAGTACCTTAAGAGCTGCTGTACAATAAATCAGGAAATCATTTAGGGCTTGTCCCATAAAGTCATCAATATGCTCGGGAGCCCTTTCATGACTCCCGACTTGACACCTCGGGATTTTGTTTCTAATGAAGTGTAAAGGAAATCACTGCGGGATAGCGGGGAGAATATCATGGACCTTCTTTGCGGCTTATGGTAATCCATTTTCTCAGCGATCAAAGACAAAATTTGCATAATTTTTGGAAATGTTTTTTGATTTTTAGTTACGTTTTTTGTTTTGTGTTTTTACTGTGATAAACAAAATATTTTGATATAAAAACTATTTCAAATTTACTACTGTAACAGTCATTAATGTTTTTGTAATTTGAAACAAATTTATTATTTTAGTTGCTGTAGCGAACTTAAAAAATAAAATTAAAATATTAGGTTGTTCAAATAATTCTGTGCTTCTTCTCAAAGCTAATTTTCAGATTTAGGGGGGACAGAATTATTTGACTAACTCAATAAATTTTCTTTAAATTTATGCTTAAAAAATAATTCATACCGAAACCTAAAACAACATGAAAGGCTTCAAAAGAACACTAATTGTTGCCTTTTAAGGCGCTTCTTTTTTTGAGCCGAAAAGGCGGAAAATACGGTAAAATTGGCTAAATGCGGGAACAAAAGGTACATCTGCATATTTATAATGGCTTCTAATAATAATTTTCATTTTTCGTATTGAGGATTGTGTGTTTAAAAAAAGTGTGTACCCTTTTTCAACACATACGGCTGGAGACTTATACTTCAATTTTTTTCTCAAAAATATGTTTTTTCTCAGTGAAAACCAAAAAATGGCGCAGGAAAATACAAAATTCTGCGCCGTTTTAAAAAGAGAGCACAATAAAACGAGAGACACTAGAGAAAAGACTCTCTCTCTTTCAAACGATATTTTTTTCAAATGGCGCAGGATTCTGTATTTTTCTGCGCCATTTTTTAATTTTCACTGAGAAAAAAAATATTTTTGAAGGAAAAAATTTGAAGTATAAGTCCTCAGCCATACATGATATAGATAGATTCAGGCTGTAGTCGGTAAGCGTTTTTTAAAACTAAAACTGACGTTAGGTATGGTGAAGAACAAGTAACTTCTGAAATCAAAAAAGCAATAAAAAATGATTTAGTTTTATATGCTTGAACTATTGTTGTAATTAAATGACGGCTTATGACCGAGTTTCTAAAAAGCGCTTAGGTGCCGGAAAAGGATATTAATCTTATTACTCAATATAGGTTTCGTCTAATTATAGGACTAGGATCAAAGATATAAGCCAAGACAGTGACCGTCATATTATTCTAGTTGGCGAGCTAATTCATGGTGTCTTTTACTTGCATGTTGTATAAAATTTTATGAGCTACTGAACTTTATATCAGCTTTGAGTAGCTCATTACTTTTTATACAATACTAAGTCCAAGTATTTTTGACCGTTATATTATTATATTTTTTAATGTATTATAATATACGTCTGGCAATAACGAACCTCCAAGAGCAAAAATAATAGTATTTTTATTGAAATAGAAATAATATACAAATAAATGCAAAATAACAACTAAATTATTCAAAATGTAATATACCCGTAGTGTGTATGACAAGATAATCAAATAAAATTATAAAAGTAATGTAAATAGAGCTAATAGAACAGTAGTTACAGTAGTTGTAAAAGTAAAAGCTGAGCTCGGCTCAATGTCACAGTTATGAGGTTCGCCTTGTCGCGCGGCCGAACAAATCTCGGCCATTTTGGCTTTGAGGTAGATACGCTCGTCGTCACTGAAAGTTGAATTGTTATACGCCATTCTTTTTGCATCAAAATGGTAATTAAAACTTAGAGTAGGATAGAACAGAGTAATTTGTGTAGGGCAGGGCAGGGTAAAATAAATTAGGGCAAAGTAAAGTAGGGTAGGATAGGGTAGGCCATAAAAAGGAATTCATGTTCTGAATTCTTAGTAAATTTTGCTACAGTGACTCACCGTTTCTCGTTAGGATCCTGTTGAGGTCTCCAGACATATTTAGTCCCAGGTTTGCCTCGAGGCATTTCTTTAGTGCCATTTTCACTTTTCAAATACTCGATTCTTCTATGGGCTTCATAGAAATCAAAGCACACTTTAAACCAGCTCATAGCGGACAATCGAAGCCGATGGAAGGATTTGAACTGGGCTATGTCAAAGGCACTTCTGAAATAATATTGGGGGTTGTTTTGCTATAAATGTGGCATACTTTAGGTACCCTAAGTTTTATTAAGTGATATTACAGTAAGCATACCTATAAACACAATGTCCCTTGCAATGAGTTGACCTCAGAACGTGATCTTCACCGTAAAACTGTGAGATCTCGGATGGGGTATTCTGACTTCTAGGCTGTCGAAACAGTATCATGACTGGGAAAATGCATTTCTGGAACTCCCCAGGTACTGGTGGTACATATGGCGCTATCACGTTCCCTTCGGCCTTTATCGTTCCTGCTGCTAAAGAGCCGGCGGGTATATCAGTGATAAACCAATGCAGATAATGACGATGTGGATCGAAAAGGACTATTGTGAAACGGTCCTCTTTTAGGGCTGAAACGGACGGATTTGTAGATATTTAAATTTTATATTACTATTCTTCAATTGAATATTTAAAATACCATTATAAAAAACTTAAAAAAAACTATCAAACTTGAGTTTGAATTACTCATAGTAATTGTATGGCACTACTTACCAATATAATGCCGTAGGCTACGTTGATAATTGTCAGTTTCATATTCGATTGACCTCATTGAAGTGACAACCGGCTCTTTTCTTAATGCCAAGGTTGGAAAAGTCTGGCCAGAGTCTAGTGGATCAACAAAGATGTCTTTTTCTCTGTAAATTGATAACATAATTCAAAATAAAGTTTTACTACACTTTCTTGAAAAAGGCGTTATACGTGTGACACTTTGGTTATAAAGACAGGTTTGGAAAAGTCCTTTAAATGTCATACTGTAGAGGTTTGACTGTAAAGTAAAAAATGGAAAATAATATATAATTAAAAGTAAATAAACATACTCTGTCTGAATATGTTTACAACAAACTTCGAAGCTGGCTTTCGGTTGTGAGAAACTGACTGATAACGATGAATCCATCTCTGACAGTAGGAAAAGCTCTGTGAATTCATACAGCTTTTCTTTTTGTAGTTCTGAAAACATTTTTATATGAACAAAACTACAGAAAAATTTACAGAGAATAAAGAGACCAAAGAAATATTTCTACTCAATATGACGTAACTCCCAGTTTTCAAAGCTTTTGGTGATTTTTAAATAAAATAGTACTTTAGACTAAAAAATGATAAAACATACTTTTCTGAACAAGAGAATGGCAATTGTCAACCGACCCCTTGAGGCGTTGTCGTTCCATAGCATAAGCATCTGATCCAATTAAGGCCCAGTTTATTCCAATCAAATCTAAAGTAATATTGTAAAATACGTTATAAAAATTACGTACTATGTTTTTTTAAACTAAACGACATATCATAGCAATTGAACTGTATGATAAGAGAAAAAGCAACTACAATTTTAAATTTTAAAGTCGATGTTAAAGTAAGATAAAACTAAAAAAGACTTTAAAACCTACCCGCTTCCAACCCATGTTCCATCATAAAGTTGGTCAACAAAAACATCTTCTCCCGATTAAACTTGGCCGTTTTAATACTCTCTGACACTTCTTCACTACCTCTAAACACTAGAAGCACCAACGGAGTCGGTTGATTTGGCCGAAAATTATCGACCGTTTCATAATCAACAATAACTTTGGGATTCCTTGGGTAATCGACTACCAAATACTTGAGTAATCCAAAGCCAGCATCTAATAGCATGATGACATTGCTTTCATTTGAACCCAATTCTGGCCAAGAAATCTCAGGAACAACTCGAGTTAAGAAGGGCTGGAGGGGTTCCATCTCTGGATGGGCGATTACTTGACTGCGGTTACATTCTACTATGAAGTCATGGTCACAGCCACGGTATTGGCCTGAAATAAATTTTTTTACATATTATTGACATTTTTAGTCTAATTTGCATAAAAAATGAGCTTAAACTAATAAATTCAGCTTTTTTGAAATTCCGCAGTTTGCAAAGTGCAGGGCGCACGTTGCTAAACAATTTCCAAAATTATTGCATAAATTTGAATTTCAAAAAATGTAAATGGTGTTTTTGTTTACCTGACTGTAATGTAAATGTCATTCGTGGGTAGATGGCCAGGTTTTGTAAATAAGCCGCAGTAAAGGTACGAGCGTGGAATAATCGACCGCCTAATGAGTGATAAGCTGACAATTCTCGCGGGTTCATACATTTTATTGGGTTGTGCTGAAAAGTGATAATTACTAAGCGTGGATTTCACTACCGTATTTTACATTTTGACATTTTACATAACTAAAAACTGTTGTAAATTTTGTGGGTATACTATAAGATACGATAAGAAATGTCATTAAACCAGAGAGTAATAAAAATGAATATATCACCCTACCTCCCTTCTAGAACTACTGAATCCGCCACAATGTAGCTTCCAGGTGTCACCAAACCAAAAGTTATTGGTTTGAGGTACCAGCTTCTTTACCTTCTCTATACAATCTACAGTACGAACACAAAAGGCGGCATCGTTGTCTGATATCAAAGAGAATGATCGTTTGTTTTGTGATAATACTGTAGATATAAAAAGAAGTAATGGTAGCCATATTGTTGGAAATGTCATTGTGAAACTGTTAGTTGTTATGTGACTTTCATTTGTCTGAAAAGTTACTGTAAACATTGACATGTACGTATGTAATGACCACGGTAAAATACGCGACGAGCACTCTTAAGACTAATACTAGATTGTTCAAATAATTATGTGCCCGCTTTCAAAAAAAATTTTTGGTGGTAGAGGGCACAGAATTATTTGAGCAACACAATGTGGCTTTTTAATTAAAAAAATAAAATTTTAAATTAAAAAATGGATATACGAAATACTTCCAAAGCGTATATACCATAGTAAACACGATGTTATATCCAAGTAAAAACAAGTATAAGAACGACAAGATGTACACGCTCGTATAATAAATGACGCATTTATAATTTGAAATTTGTATATTATGGAGAAGAAAAAGTACGAATATATAAACATCTACTAGCTGTTAATGTAGCATAGTAATCAAGAGATTGACTGAAAAGGGTTGGGAAACAAACATATGTCATAGTAAAAGTAATATATGGTAAAGCATGAGATAACTTGAGCTTACTATTAGGTTGAGCCAAAAGTAGTGGGACACTTTTTATTTATTTTTCAACTGAAATATGTCCCGTTACTTTTGGTTCAATCTAATATTGAAGCTAAGGTAGGGTAGGGTATCACCCCTTTCTAACCTAAAAAACGGACTCAACCTTTAGCATATGAAAAGTTGAAAAGTACAAAGAATTACTTAAAAAATACCCATTAAAGTTTAAAATGTAACGTAAAACCATAAAACATAAAAAAAAGTATTTGTAAGCTGTTCAAACAAATAAAAATAACAACAAACAGCTTGCTCACCCAGTAAGAAGCGCTAAACAAAGAAAAAAAGTTGGAAATCAAATGGAAATTAGCATTATTCCAGAAAAAGCGCAAAGTAAAGTGACTAATTGGCAAGAATTTAACTGCTACCTGAAGGTTTGTTTACTATGCTATAGTAGGTGTTGATTCTACTACAATATTACTCATATTTTTTAGTTTGGAAAGCATATTATAGCTTATGTACTTCTCGTTTTTAAGTTTATAAGAGCTTATTCTAAGAACGACAAAAAATTTTAAAAAAATTTAAAATTGTCTTTGATAAGTTTCATAAATCAACGTATTTTACCCAAATATCCCCCAGCTTCCCGCTCCACAATGTTAGCACTACGTTAAGCATGGTGTGATGAGTTTGAAAAAATTTGCATAGAGTCGGAAAACAGAAACAAAAGATTGCGCGGAAATAAACATAGGGTACAAGATACGACGAAGAGAATATAATGGTTTTCACTTAATTCTGCCGCTTAAACACATTCACAAACAAACGTTGAGAACATTGCTACACTCAAGCATAAGCAATGATACCACCGTAGAGTTAAAGAACACTTGTCAAGATTTAAAAGAATTTTAAAAGTTTAGAGTTTATGTAAAGTCATTTTGTTAAAAATTTAGATTTGCTATGGTCAAAAAGTACATAGAAGTCATTGGTAAAAAATTTTATCGTCTTTCTCATTATAATCATAGCATTATAACGCTGTTCATATAATTCTGTGCTAGCTCTCAAAGCAAATTTTTGGGGTCAAGGGGCACATGATTACTTGAACAACGTAAAATTATACAAGAAATTTTTTTTTGAATTTATAAAATTTCCATGAAATTAAAAGTGAAATAAAGCAATTGATTGTAATATAAAAACCTATATTACAGTAGCAATAACAACTTTGAATAGTACGAAAATGCTCAAAGACCTGCCATAACTATAACCTTGAATGTGTTGACCACACAATACGATAATTGCTTTATGAAACTTGCTACCAAGAAAACAAAGACACATACCGCTTAAGGTAAAACTATTTTACTTCTGTTGATGTAAGAAAACTATATATAGTAAGGTCAAAATGTATAAATCTAAGTCTTTCCAGCAATGTCATAAAATTTACCTGCAACACAATGCCAAATTTGCTAAGTCTATAATTTTTAAACCTTAATATCACGCATCAAAAGGTTTTGTATGTGTTAGTGGTACTACAACAAAGACATTGGTACTAAAAAAGACTACTAGTCCTTGTCAGCTGAGTACTTTCTTTGTTGGATAAACATGCAAAAAAAGTAACTCCTACGAATGCAACATAGTTTCGTGATTCTTATTATTATTGTTACAACGTCCTAAAGCTAACATTAAACACGCATGAACTTTGAAAAAACTTTTACACATAACACAGCTATAATATTAAAAGTCAATGTACTACAACATTTTAAGTCATCAAAATGCAATTTAAAACTCTTTAAAACAAAAAAAACTGAAAATTTTTGAGGAAATGTGGCATTTTGTCATCAACACGTAATAAGATGACAATTAAACCAGTGTCAAACGTTTTAAAGTAGACTTGAGTTGAAAGCCACAACACCAAAAATGACATTATATTCGAGAAAACCGAAGGAAAAAACATTCCGCTTTAGTGAATCCAAACAGATTTGTTAGGACTTTCGGAGACATTCAGAAGCCCTTTTTTATGATACTCGTTATACAACAAAATAACTCGGTCAAAGATTGTTACAGTGTAAATTTAGAGAGAAACGTGGCATATTTAGAATATAATTTTGTACTGAGTGTAGTAGGATCGATATGGCTATCGTAGGGCAACAAAGGGTAGGGTAGGGTAGGGTAGGGTAAGGTAGGATAGGGTAGGGTAGGGTAGGGTAGGGTAGGGTAGGGTAGGGTAGGGTAGGGTAAGGTAGGGTAAGGCAGGGTAGGGTAGGGTAAGGAAGGGTAGGGTAAGGTAGGGTAGGGTAGGGTAGGGTAGGGTAGGGTAGGGTAAGGTAGGATAGGGTAGGGTAGGGTAGGATAGGGTAGGGTAGGATAGGGTAGGGTAAGGTAGGGTAGGGTAGGGGTAGGGTAGGGTAGGGTAGGGTAGGGGTAGGGTAGGGGTAGGGTAGGGTAGGGTAGGGTAGGGTAGGGTAGGGTAGGGTAGGGTAGGGGTAGGGTAAGGTAGGATAGGGTAGGGGTAGGGTAGGGTAGGATAGGGTAGGGTAGGATAGGGTAGGGTAAGGTAGGGTAGGGTAGGGTAGGGTAGGGTAGGGTAAGGTAGGGTAGGGTAGGGTAGGGTAGGGGTAGGGTAGGGTAGGGTAGGGTAGGGTAGGGTAGGGTAGGGGTAGGGGTAGGGTAGGGTAAGGTAGGGTAAGGCAGGGTAGGGGTAGGGTAAGGAAGGGTAGGGTAAGGTAGGGTAGGGTAGGGTAGGGTAGGGTAAGGTAGGGTAAGGTAGGGTAGGGTAGAGTAGGGTAGGGTAAGGTAGGGTAGGGTAGGGGTAGGGTAGGGTAGGGGTAGGGTAGGGTAGGGTAGGGTAGGGTAAGGTAGGGTAAGGCAGGGGTAGGGTAGGGTAAGAAAGGGTAGGGTAAGGTAGGGTAGGGTAGGGTAGGGTAGGGTAGGGTAGGGTAGGGTAGGGTAGGGTAGGGTAGGGTAGGGTAGGGTAGGGTAGGGTAAGGTAGGGTAAGGCAGGGTAGGGTAGGGTAAGGAAGGGTAGGGTAGGGTAGGGTAGGGTAGGGTAGGGTAAGGAAGGGTAGGGTAGGGTAGGGTAGGGTAGGGTAGGGTAGGGTAGGGTAGGGTAGGGTAGGGTAGGGGTAAGGTAAGGTAGGGTAAGGAAGGGTAGGGTAAGGTAGGGTAGGGTAAGGTAGGGTAGGGTAGGGTAGGGTAAGGTAGGGTAGGGGTAGGGTAGGGTAGGGTAGGGTAAGGTAGGGTAGGGGTAGGGTAGGGTAGGGGTAGGGTAGGGTAGGGTAGGGTAGGGTAGGGGTAGGGTAGAGTAGGGTAGGGTAGGGTAGGGTAGGGTAGGGGTAGGGTAGGGTAGGGTAGGGTAGGGTAGGGAAGGGTAGGGTAAGGTAGGGTAGGGTAGGGGTAGGGTAGGGTAGGGTAGGGTAGGGTAGGGTAGGGTAGGGTAGGGTAGGGTAGGGTAGGGTAGGGTAGGGTAGGGTAGGGTAGGATAAGATAGGGGTAAAGAAACAGAAAAAGTCAAGTCGAAAAGTACCACAGTAAAAAAAATTTATTGCTAAAAAGCTGTCAGATACGGTAAATTTTTCCAACAAATATTTGAAAAACAAAAACTTGAAATTGATTACACTTTCTTTGACGCAAAAGCTTACAATGACTTATTGTTTGTATGAGTAAGTGGAATCTTTGCCAAAAACAAGAGTATCTAACCATAGTAACTAACTAACAAGTAGCTTCTTTAAAGCATTTCTTAAATTTAATTTCTAAGTTAAAAAAATATGATCCACTCCAAAAAAAATCTTTTAGTTAAATTTAACCTTGCCCTCTTAATTTCTTTGTTAAATCTTTTTTGCTTTACCTTTCCACGTTACCTCAAAAAATTAACCCAGCCAAAAATTTAAATTTTTTTCTCAAATAATGAAGACAGTATTATCCACCTTTCTCAAGCAAAACAACCACAACACCACACCCAAAACACTTGATAAACCGTCGAACTCCCCCAGGAACTAATTTGCATAAACTCGAATTTCATTTTCTTGGTCTTTAGCGCGCTTCCGTCGGCGGTAATCTGCAAACAATATCGACAGGTAAATTATACCGCATAAATTTACGAGTGAGTTTGCATACCAAATTAAGGCCACAGTTTTGAGGTTTAATATGGTTGCTTCTTGCATTTGCATAGCCTATAACGTCAAATATCATCAAGGGGAACAAACATGGTTAACTAAAGCTTTCAAAACACCATGCAGAGATAAGGAACGGGTCGGGCTCAAAAACCAAGCTTTGTTGTAAGCTTGGTTTTCGAGAAAAATCAACCTTTTAGATATAGAAAGTAAAATACCAATCTGTTAAAACTGCAAAATTAAATTTTTTTCACATTACTAAAGTATAATATCCGTCTTGGTTCCGATTTCCAAGTTTCAAGTGTATAAACAATAGCAGCGTTGGATTAAGTCATCAAATTCAAAAAAATACTCACTAGAACAGATACGAATGCACTTGAACGTAAAGAGAAAAAAATACG